AGAACACCCAGAACGCTGCATTATCCTCGGGACTCTGGCTGGGCTTTCCGGTCATTCTCGTGTTTTCTGGCTCAAGGTTTACCCGTAGTCTTCCTCGGACGACAACGATAACTGTACACACACAAGAGGGCATTTTCTGGGCAAGAGACTTGCGGCTCCGCGCAGACGCAAACCCTCTATCGCGCGTGGAGCCTCTGCGAAGTCGCCTGCGCACGATGCAACACACATGGACCGTGGTAGTAGCTGCATGAATCCCTGACGGCGTGCTAGACAGGACATGCCAACCAAGTAAGTAGTATCTAGTAGTAGCAGTAGTAAGCGATGCCCCCCATCTAGCACCAATCTGAAGCTATGGAGTAGCGAGTGTGTGCTTTGTACGAACCATTCCGTGCTGCGGCATGGTAGGGGTCTTCTTGTCCATCATTTTAATCAAAAAAGACTTGTGGTCCTGATGAATCCCGGCTCTTGACATGGATACGACACTCCACTTCCTCGTTGTCTTGCTTGGACGTTGACTCTTGTCCTTGCCAACCCAGTACCGACTTATCCGCTTGTCGAAGCACTGGGAAAGGAGGAAAACTGGATAAAGCGCTGTGAAATACTACTATAGTTACATACCCGTATGAGTAAATGATACACGAAGCCCTCATGAGCCCAATGCAAGTCGGGCAAATAGGGGAACGGGCTGCTGTTGCGCTGTTGGCCCTGACATGCTGTCGATTACCTTGTTGGAACCCTGGCTTTCAGGAACTTTGTCGTCCCTGCGCTCTGCCCCTCTTTTACCCTCTTGTCACCCTCCACTTCCGTCCATCCAGTTTCCTCAAAGGTTGCAGCGAACCGTTACCCTACAGAATTAGAGTCAACGTTTGAGTAAGGACCGCATGCCCTCTTCCCCCCCCAACGTCTGGTAGCTTTTTCGCAATGTGGTAGGTAACCCAACCAACAGACTGGTACGGGCTATGCGCTATTAAATCGATGTGTATTCCTTGTGTAGAGTCGTATTTGGTAAATTAGGGGCTCGAGGTTTGAAACAGTGAGCGGCTCTACCTACCTACTTGCCCTCTTTGAGGCTTGATGGGATAGGTATTGCTATTGCTCGTAACTCGTACACACAGCACTGTATCGTGTGGGAGATGCACTTGCAGCTTGGCAAAGGCTGCCGGTTAAATACCAGCAGATGGATCGAGAACAACTTTTCCCTAGGCAAGCAGGCTATCTCGTCGCCTTGGCTCCATTGTGGCCCCGAATTGCGTGAATTCTGCTGTAATATCTCATCGATGAACCGGAAACAAAGAGATGGACACAAGCTGAAGCCCGCACGACCTCACCTATGTACCTTACCTGTGACTGCGTCCTACCCACTGGGGCAACACCGTAGGTATGCGTGTACGGACTATTTCCTTGGTACAACCAATGATTTCAGCCGTGCCTGGATAGTCTCTCGTCATGAAGAAAATCACTCGTTGCGACCTCGTGTTGGTCTGTTTCAACTCATGTCGAGTTACATTGCCCCTTTCACCGGAAAGGCGGCGATGCCTCCCGTCTGTCCCTCCACCATCCATGTCCCCGCTGGTTCACGCATTCATACAAGGTAGGTACCATAAGGTAGCTAAATTCGGGTGCATTATGTATGCTACCTACTAAGCTGGGTATTGAATGTCCTAACTGGTATTCCAAGAGGCATGCTATATTACCCTCCCTTGATTTTGCCAGGTCAAAGATATGATTGAGAACGATCCACATAGACAGTAACGAGGCCCGGCGTTGAGCCATTATATATCACAACCTTAACTAAAGTAATGGAAGCCGAGTAGCGATCATGGCCGGGTGCCGACTGCACCGCTCACCGCGGCTCATTCACACTTGTGCAGCTGAGAAGCAATGAACTTGCGAATTGCATAGCAGAATCCCTTCGATATTGACATTGACATTGACATTTACATTTTTCTACCAGATACTCCAGACGCCGCCTGACTAGTCGCTAGAATTACATGTCCATGCTCATCAGATACATTTCCAAGATGCGCATAAACTTCGCCACAAAGGCCTCCAGGTGAAAGATGACCTTGGTGCCCGTCTTGATCCGGTGCTCGTAAAAGGCAGACCACTTTATGACTTCCGCCTTGAGCCCGTCGTCAATGAGGTTCAGCAGCTTGAATGTGAGCGTCTTGATGATCGTGGTCGGCGGGATGCAGTGCGTCAGCAGATCGTACAACTTGGCGCGCACCTGCAGGATCCGCGCAGGCGTGTGTTCCTCAATGATCTCCTTGGCGATCTGGCCGATGAGTGCTTCCCAGTCCGCAGGCGGGATAGGCGTGGTATCTGTGACTTTCTCACTGCGGCGCGCAGGTTCGTTAGCAAGGTGATGTAGAGCGATGGACTGAGTCAAGATTGCACTTACTTTTGTGCGTGAACGGCCTCCAACATCAACAGCGCACGACGCAGATTCCTCCCGCTCTCCTCAGCTATCCGCTGGTGTAGCCCCTGAACAACCTCCCAATTCTCCCTCTTGGCCGACTGCGCGAGGGCGTCGCAGATTTCGGCATGTGTGGGAGCGGCCACTCTAACGAGCAATGTTCTCGAACGAATCGGCGCAATGATATTGGCCGTCGAATTCGCCAAGAGAATCAGACGCAAGTTTGGAGAGTACTTTTCCATGGTGCGACGAAGCGCTGCCTGGGCATCTCGGGTGAGATGGTCCGCCTCGTTGATGACCACGACCTTGAACCGCTGCTTCGCCGACTGGTCCACCTGCTGTGTCTGCGCCACCTCTTTCAACAGATCCTGCACGACGACTCGATCGTATTGCCCCACGTCCGACGGCGTGATTTCCAGGTGGTAGTTGGAGGCGACAATGTTGAACTCGAGCTTTCGGTTGCTAGACGTCTGGAACACTCGGGCGTCGATCTTGATCTTCTCCACGCCGGGGCCGTACAGCTCCTTCAGCGTCGCTACTATCCTCGTTTTCTTGCCGGCTCCCGAGGGGCCGTAGACGAGCAGGTGCGGAAAGTCGCCGCTTTGGGCCTGTGACGGGAGGGTGTTAGCTGGTGCAGCTTGGGTTGCAGACTTGCATGTGCGTAGGTAGGTAGTCACATCGTACCAGAGACTGGAGTCTTTCTGAGAGCTCATGGTGATATGACAGAGCCTCGAGGGACCGCGGGCGATGCTTGTCGACGATGAGGGCCATTGCGGCGGCGGAATGGGTTGGCGTGGTGGTTGAATGGGAAGCTCCAGGGTTTGAAAGGTTGGAAGACGCGTCGTCGCGTAAAGTGCTGTGCGATGAACTCAGAGTGGGGAAGATTGGGTGCATGTGCCTGTTGCTGTTCCCTGCAGCCGCTGGACTTTGCAGCCGCTGGACTTTGCAGCCGTAAAAAGCCCGGGTCACGGCTTGTCAATCCAGGACACCGTTCCTGAATTGCGCATCTACTCTCCAAGTACGAGTATCGCATGATTTTCTTGATTTTCCTTGATTCGTTACCTCGGATTGTGACTCTAGTCAATTGGACTGGTGAGACTCTTCGAACGCCGATGAGTTTGGGGGTCACAGCATCATCTAGGTAGTCCATGTTTGTTACGAGACATATCTTGGTTGGTGTTGTCCTTTATTGTTTTTTTTTCTTGATTCATCAGGCGGCTTTTACTCTATATACAAAACTCTTATAGTACATGTTCTTTCTCCTGTTGTTTATGAAGACGCAGACGGTGCAGAAGGGCTTCCAGCTTCCGCCGCCGCCTTGGTAGCTGCAGCCTCAACAAGCTCTTGAGGGGCCAGGTGTTTTCTTGGCCTCTTGAGATCCTCCAAAGTGACGCCGTCTAGCTTTGTGATTCCAACAACAGGAGGGTCTCCCTTCTTCACAAACTCCCACTGACCTAAAGAATCCGGTTAGCAGCGAAACAAAAAGGCAAGACGATGGGGATCTGTACCAGGCAGCTTGTTGCCAGCCAACCGGAAGGCATCTCGAACAATCTGCTCGTGGATCCGGCCCTTGATCTCGAACAGGACCTGGCTGACGGCCATTCTCGTAGCCCAGTGGTCAAAAGAACCTTTTCCTTTACCCATTCGCATCTGCCTCAAACGTTTAGCTTGCCATTCCCTTATGAGACACCTCAATGTGAGCACTCCGCACCTCGTTACCGCTGACGTAGACGCCCACGTTGCAGCACTTTCTCTTGTACAGTCGGTATTTCTCTCCTCGAAGTCGCACTTTGATCGTATCCTCGGCCATCTTGAGCGACTTGGCACTAATTCGTCGGTGGTGGTCAACCATTCGCAGTCCGTAGTCGCCCCAAATCACCGTCGTTCCCTTTGTTGATCCTCCCGTGGCGACTCGCGGCCGTCCCTTGGCCATCTTCTTTTTCCGGTTCAGGCTGGGCTCGAGCCATGTGCCCATCATGGCCGGGCTTGTGGAAAAGGCTCTGCCATTCTGGAGGAGTTGGGCGGCGGCGCCCAGGACCTTGGACGGGCGCTGGACCGGGGCTCTCAGCTGTCGCAAAGGGGTGCAGGCGGAGATCCTCAGCCCCTGGAAGGCACTCAGCAGTGCGGAAGCGCCATTGGGCCTCATGGCGTCGGTTTGGCGGGTTGTCGAGGCCTGTCTGTCAAAGTCGCACGACTGCTGCGATATCTTGAAAAGAATCCCACCATGCATGGCGCCGGGTCAAAGTGGGGCCTGAGATCTCAGGCCCCGAACGAACGACGCCTGCTTACCTCAGCTCTCGGCTCGGCAGCAATTAAGCCCAGGTCACGCACCTCGCGTCAGCTTCGCGTTGTGCAGCTGCAGGTGGGATCTTCTTAGTGCACGTCACTGAACGGCTTCCAGGCTGCATCTTCGCTTTTGCACGCCAGACCCGCGATTGTTCAGGCAGCAGCCTCGAATTGCGGCGAAAAGGGGCCTTGAAGTGAGGGTTTCTTAAAGAAAGATCATTGTACCTGTCATTCTCCTTCGATCTCATCTTCTTCCAACCTCTACTTCCCTCTGGTCGAACACAGCGATACAATGCCTGATATTCGATCATTCTTCGCGCCAAAGGGTGGTGCACCCCCGAAGCCTGCGGCTGCAAAGCCAGAACCGCCGGCCAAAGGAAAGCGAGGAAGTGAGTGCTTTTGGACTTCCATGTTCTCAATTGAATGCTTACCAGTATCTAGAAGGGCGCAAGGTCATCGAAGATAGCGACGATGACGAGGTGGTAGAGTAAGAACCGGCCACACCCCTGCTTCTGTCTACTGCTTGGATCACGTCCCGCCTCTAACCTATAAATTAGAATAAAGAAGCCCGCACCGAAACCGCCGGCTAAGAAAAGGTACTATATACTGTGCAATGAGTATTGCTCCCTTCCATGGAATGTGTTAACCCCAATTAGGGAGACGGAACCAAAAGGCGTAGCAATATCTGCCGACGACTACTTTGCCTCCTCCAAAGATCCCAAGACCGCTAAAGCATCTCAAACTCCCAAGAAGGGCGACAAGAAGACCATCATCGAGGCCGATGTTCCTGTCAGGTCCAGTCCTCGGCCCAAGAAGACTATGGCAAAGCCGGCTGCACCGGAGGATGAGGATGAGGATGAAGATGTAGCTTCTCGACCGAAGAGGGCCAGAAATTCATACAAGGCCGCTCCCGCTCCCACCCACGACGATGACGACGATGACGTTTATATGGACGACGGTGACGAGGACGCGGACGATATCTTCGCCGCTGACGCCAAAGGCCGAAATAAGCGCAAGAACGACGATTACGAGGAGGAAGACTCCGAAGACGAGGTCATTCCACAACCCAGACGGATCGCTTCACGGGGACGGCCTGCCGCTTCTGCCAAGAAAGCTGAAGAAAAGGTAAAGACGACGCCGGCAACCAAGAAGAGAAAGTCGCCTGAACAGGAATCCGATGAGGAGGAAGAGCTGCCAAGGAAGAAACCTGCGGCAGCAAGCAAACCGCGCGCGCCAAGGGCCAAGAAAGCAGACCAACCCGAGGACGAAGCCATCCAGAACATCCTAGACAGCGTGGCTACTGTACGAGCGCCAACACCTCCTCCCAAGGATGGCAAACCCTTTGATTGGAGGAAATCAGCCTCAGGCGGTAATGCCTCGGCGCAACCTTCGCAGCCAGCCGGCGAACTCCCAGAGGGCGAGGAAGAGTGTCTCAGTGGATTGACCTTTGTTTTCACTGGCGTGCTGCAAACGATTGGCCGCGAGGAAGCTCAGGCCCTAGTCAAGCGATATGGGGGCAAAGTTACGGGCCAGCCCAGTAGTAAAACGAGTTTCGTCGTGCTCGGAGACGATGCTGGACCGTCCAAGTTGGCCAAGATCAGATCAAACGGAATCAAGACCATCGATGAGCATGGCCTCTTTGACCTGATCCGCAAGCTCCCAGCATTTGGCGGGACGGGCAAGGGCGCTCAGAAAGCGCAAGAGAAGAAGAAGGCGGAGGAAGAGAAGGTGAGGCAACAGGTTGCCGAAATGGAAGCGGAAGAGAAAGCACAGAGGCGAGAGGCCGAGAAAGAAGCCAAGAGATTGGCCGCAGCCCGAGGGCAACCCAGCAGCACGCCTGTCAAGCCTGCAGCCGCGCCCACCCAGCTCCTCACGTCCAAGTATGCGCCGACACAGCTGAACCAGATATGCGGCAATAAGGCACAGGTGGAGAAGATTCAGCGATGGCTTCACAACTGGCCGAAATCGAAGAAGTACAACTTCCAGAAACGTGGCGCTGATGGCATGGGAGGCGAGCGAGCCATCATCATCTCTGGGCCCCCCGGCATTGGCAAGACTACAGCTGCACACTTGGCGGCTAAGCTTGAAGGCTACGATGTTCTGGAGAGCAATGCGAGCGATACACGAAGCAAGAAGCTAGTCGAGGCCGGTCTCAGCGACGTCATGAACAACACTTCCCTGCTGGGATTCTTTGCAGGAGATGGGAAGTCTGTCCACTCTGAGAAGAAGAAGATTGTGCTCATCATGGACGAAGTCGACGGTATGTCGGCCGGCGATCGCGGAGGAGTTGGCGCCCTGGCCAAGTTCTGCAGGAAGACGGAGGTGCCCTTGATCCTCATCTGCAACGAACGAAGACTGCCCAAGATGAAGCCGTTCGACCATGTTGCGTTTGATATAAGATTCAACCGTCCGACGGTCGACCAAGTCCGGTCTCGCATCATGACGATTTGCCATCGAGAAGGCTTGAAGATGCCTCCGCCAGTCGTTGATGCTCTCATTGAGGGCAGCAACAAGGATATCCGCCAAATCATCAACATGATTGCGACAGCGAAGCTCGACCAGTCGACCATGAACTTTGACCAAACCAAGTCCATGTCAAAAGCGTGGGAGAAGCATGTTGTGCTCAAGCCGTGGGATATCTGCCAGAAGATGCTTGGTGGCGGACTCTTTGCACCTGCAAGCAAGGCGACGCTCAATGACAAGATTGAACTCTACTTCAACGATCACGAGTTCAGCTACCTCATGATCCAAGAAAACTACCTCCAGACGAAGCCCATGGCCCTCAGCGGCTCGGGGTACAGGGGTCGAGAAGCTACTTTGAAAGCGCTCGAGCTCTTTGACCAGGCGGCAGAGAGCATCAGTGACGGTGACCTTGTGGATCGCATGATCCACGGACCGCAGCAGCAATGGAGCCTCATGCCTACGCATGCCGTCTTCAGTACTGTGAGGCCTGCGAGCTTCGTTGCCGGCCAGTTGCTGGGGTCCAACTTTACGTCTTGGCTCGGAAATAACAGCAAAGCTGGAAAATTGGGCCGATACATTCGAGAGATTCATTCCCACATGAGGCTCAAGTCATCAGGAGACCATAACGAGGTTCGACAGGAGTACTTGCCTGTGCTGTGGTCGCAGACGGTGGATCGGCTGCAGAAAGAAGGAACTGAAGCCGTGGAAGAGGTCATTGACCTGATGGACAGCTACTACCTCACCCGAGAAGACTTTGACGCCATTCAGGAACTGGGAGTCGGTCCCATGGACGAGGAGCGTGTCAAGATTGAGACCAAGACGAAGGCTGCCTTTACTCGAACGTATGTAACCTTGTCTTGACGACACTCGAGTCATTCTTACAGCAGATTGTGCTAACTGAGAACAGATACAACTCCATGAACCACCCATTGCCCTTCATCAAGGCCAGCAATGTCTTTGCGCCGAAGAAACAAACGAAGGAGATGCCCGACCTGGAAGAAGCCATTGAGGAGGAAGATGACGCCGAGCTGCTGGAAGCTCCAGACGTTGACGAGGATGACGAAATCGATCTGAAGAAGGATAAGTATATCAAACAACCAAAGGTCAAGAAGCCGGCGAAGAAGGCATCGAAGACGAGTACTGGAGATGACGACGACACTGCGGATTCAAAACCGAAAGGCCGCGCCAAGGCCAAGGCAACAAGCGCGAAGGGAAAAGCAAAGAAATAACAACGCCTCGGGAATGGATCAACATAACTACATTTGCGTGTATGATCTAGCGTGGATAGTGACATTTTCGACGCCCGGAGTGTCACTGGTATTGACTTGATGGCTGTCAAATATGCAAGAATTCGGAAGCAGAAACAGCAATGGCGCGGTACAGCTTGCTTCAGTGTGTCTGCAACCCCGAGTTTACGACTACTAATCTCACACTGAGTGGATAATGGGCGAATTTCTCATTTTGGAGTTGAGGTTCGGGAGAACATCATCGTGCGTCAGAATCATACACAACCAAGAGTCTTGTGCATAGGTATGTTATGAGGATGCTGGAGTGTGCATCGACACCCTTGGAGGCGGTTGATTTCAAGGGGAGACGGCGTCCTGTGACTGCCGCTCAGAGGACGAAAGTGGTATGTACATGTATGGTATATCTCATACAGAAAAGACTCTTTCATCTTTAACTTTCACATTCGTATGTCCAACTTTCCATGCATGTTGCCCTTCCCACCCCATTCCATGTTGGTGCTTCATTCCCTATGCAGATATTATGAAATACCTTTTTCTTCCTTTTTTAAGGCCGCCGTCATGAGAGGAGCAATATACACTTTTGAAACCAAACGCCAAGCCAACGTCAAATCCGGTAGTAGTACATGTACAGCGGTGCGTCTGTATGATGGGGAGTTGAATCATGACATCCACACGCCTTTTGGTATATTTTCTTTCGCTTCTTCTTGTAGCCTGTCCGTTCTTGATATCTTTCGAGTTTGTGATCAAAGGAGTTGAGATGTGAAAAAATGGCGTAAAGTATATGATCTTCTTTTAAGCGTTCTTGACGACGCCAACCTTGGCGGCACGCAAAACGCGGCCATTGAGCTTGAAGCCCTTCTGCTGGACGAAGAAGACGGTGTTGTCCTCCTTGTCGGGCTGCGGGGCCATGAAGGTGGCCTCGTGCTCGTTGGGGTCAAACTTGGCGCCCTCGGGCTCGAGGCGCTCGAGGCCGTGCTTGGCGAGCGTCTGGATGAGGATGCCCTCGGTCATCTTGAGGCCCTCGTAGAGGTTGGCCAGCTCCTTGAGGTCCTCGGTCTTCTCCTCGGCCTTGAGCTTCTCGACGGGCACGGTGGAGAGGGCGCGGTCGAGGTTGTCGACGCTGTCGACGAGGTCCTTTGCGAACTTTTGGATGGCGAAGTCGCGGGCGGCCTTCACCTCGCGGGCGGTGCGCTCCTGGAGGTTGCGGAAGTCGGCGACGGTGCGGAGGCATTTGTCCTTTTAAACAGAGACAGGTCAGCAAGACATGTTGTTGTAAGAAGATGGAGCATGTGGATGGAGAGAGAGAGAGAGAGAGAGAGAGAGAGCGGGGGAGGGAGGGAAGAAACAAACCTTCCAGTCGCGGGCCTCCTTGTCCTTGGCCTCAATTTCCTTCTTCAGCTGGGCAACGGCATCGGTCTCGCCGTTCTTGTCTCCCTCTGATGACTCAGTCTTCTCCTCGGCCTTTTGCTCGGCGGCGGCGGGAGCCTCCTTGGTCTCTGTGGCCTCCTTGTTCTCGCTGTACCACCGGCTGGCGATGGGCTGGAAGGCTCTTATTGAGATGGCGGGAGCGGCATTCTGGATCTGAGGCCGCAGAAAGGCGCGGCTGGCGGCGATGGTCGGCGTGGAGCGCAGGGCTCTGGAGGAGGTGGCGAGGGCTTGTCGAAGCATGGTGGGTAGTAGAATGTGAGAGAACGAGGCTTTTCGAAATTTATGAGGCTACAGCCGATTGGGCGACGCTGTGCGGCGGTGGTGAAAGGGGGAAAAAAAAGAAAAGAAGAAAAAAGCTGGTCGTGTGTTGTGAGATGCTATCGCGGCAACTTTGTGTAGGAGGGGACCATGAAAATTGATTCCGTCCACCAGCTTCTCCGGCCTGCGGCGGTTCAGCCCACCAACAAGAGCCGGGCGGATCATTGACGGTCCGTCTGGCGGTACCGGCGCGGGCGCAATGCGTAGTACAGGCTACTCATGACACAGGCACGACGCCGCTGCTGACAAAGTACCTGTACTCGTAGCGCCTTAGTACCTGGTAGTGGGACTTGCAGTGCTGGGCTACGTCGCGCAGTGGCTACCTGGAGGGACAAGGTGAAGCTCCGATTGTTCATCTTGTTCATCTCGATCCTCTCCCAGCTTTACAAACATCATCCATCCACTCAACACCAGCAACTTCCGCCCACTCAAGGCCGCACACGAGCATCCTTTGATTCAACACATCGAAGCGGCAATAACCATCAGCGATAAGCAACAACAGCCGTCACCCGCAACTCCCTCGACTCTCCCTCACGAAGCTTGTCAAACTTCCCCCTCCTCCATCATGGCCGCCGGCGACTCGAGCCGGGTCAAAGAAGCCCAGGACCTGGTCAAGACGGACCCGAGAAAGGCAGAGGCTGCGTTCAAGGAAATCATATCAAAGGCCCCCACGGCCACCTCAGACGCGGCCACGCGCGAGTACGAGGCTGCCCTGATAAGCTTGGGGGAACTCTACCGCGATGAGAAGTCAGCTTTTGTCCATTGGCAGCGCGACACCCTGTTGCTTTTGCTGAGCTAACATTCTTTTCAACAGGAAGACCCAAGAGCTCGTCACCTTGGTGCAGGAGAGCCGGACGGTGTTCTCATCCTTTGCCAAGGCCAAATCCGCCAAGCTGGGTATGTTTTGCACCAAAGCCACCCACCCATTGTTTGATCACCAACTGACGCCTTGCGCAACCATCCAGTCCGTCAGCTCCTGGACCTCTTCAAAGACATCCCCAACAGCGTCGACGTCGAAGTTGCCGTCACCAAGGACTGCATAGAATGGGCCACCTCAGAGCGCCGTGCCTTCCAGCGCCAGGACCTCCAGGTCCGCCTCGTCACCCTCTACATGTCCAAACAGACCTACTACGACGCCCTGACGCTCATCAACGGCCTCCTCCGCGAGCTCAAGCGCCTCGACGACAAACTCCGCCTCGTCGAGGTCCAGCTCCTCGAATCCCGAGTCTACCACGCCCTGGGCAACATTGCCAAGGCCCGCGCCGCTTTGACGAGCGCCAGGACAAGCGCTGCCAGCGTGTACACCCCGCCGCTGTTGCAGGCCAACCTCGATATGCAGAGCGGGATGCTGCATGCCGAAGATAAGGACTTCAACACGGCATTCTCCTACTTCATCGAGGCGTTGGACGGATATCACACCCAGGAAGAGTCTGCCAAGGCTCAGGCTGCGCTGCAGTACATGCTCCTCTGCAAGATCATGCTCAATTTGGTCGACGACGTCAACCAGCTCATGGCCTCCAAGCAGGCCGTCAAGTACGCCGGGAAGAACCTCGAGGCCATGAAGGCCATTGCGCGCGCCCACGCGAACCGATCTCTGGAGGAGTACGAGAGGGCCCTGTCTGCCTACCGGTACGAGCTCGGCAGCGACACCTTTATCCGCAACCACCTGCGCCGGCTCTACGATGCCCTGCTGGAGCAGAATCTCATCAAGGTCATTGAGCCCTTTTCGCGGGTGGAGATTGACCACATCGCCAAGATGGTGGGTCTCGATACCCAGCAGGTGGAGAGGAAACTGTCGCAGATGATCCTCGACAAGGTCATTATTGGTGTTTTGGACCAGGGCGCTGGCTGTCTGATCATCTATGACGAGACACAGCGGGACGAGGCGTACGACGCTGCTTTGGCGACGATTGAGAAGCTGAGTAACGTGGTGGATGTGCTGTATACGAACCAGGCTTCTTTGCTGGAGTAAGAAGGGAATATTGAGGAAGGGAGGGGACACGGGGGGTGGACATGATGACTTTTGCATTGTATCGTGTCAGTTACAGTAGACGAGGCTTGATCATTCAAAATAAACTGCCGTCCCTAGTACTGAACCCGATGCGTCACAATCCTGCAGTTATGTGCCCTTAGGGACCTTGACATTTCGAAAGCACCTTGCAAGTTCGATACTGATAGTTAGATGATGCTTCGTTTTCTCCCTGAAGAGTGAGGGACGCCACGAAAGCAGATCCGCACATAGGTACAACAGACTTGCTCCGGCCATACATCCAAGTGAACCTCCTTTCCTCTTGAACTGAAACCAAGCCGAAAGAATTCCAATCTGCTCAAGTGGTATCCTGTTTATTGTCCCCCCTGCCCTACGTACAAGGATAGTGTGATAATCAAAGTGAAAAGCAAGAAAAACAAGTAAACAACGTGAGCCAGAAACCAATGCCAGCCGAGTCATAATCCAGTAGATAACATGATAAATCAAGCCGAATTTCCCCCTCCCTTTTTCTTGTCCAACGCCAACTCATGCATAAACAGTTGAGGCAAAAAGGGGTGGTCAAGAATCCAGACTCTCCCAACACCGGATGAATGCTATATCAAAAAAAAAGGAGTACTTCGTACACTTCGTACAAGGGACAACGGTTTCCTGCCTTGTCTCCCGCCATTTTATCAAAGAAAAAACCAGTGGTGAAACAAGAAGAGCAAAAAGAAGGTAAAACCAGGAGACAATCAGACAGCAAAGCTCGGCCAATTCAATGAAACATGACGCCAGGAGACGACTGCCCCAGCGAAGCCCGTCTCCGCTGTGCCTCCCCCAGTATCAGCGCAAACAGCCTCTTGGCCAGCTCCCCCTCGTCCCAGCCCTTGATCTGGGACTTGAACGCGTCGACGCACTCGAGGTGCCACTTCTCCAGCACCAGGGACTCGCCCATGCTAGTGACGACCTTGCCCAGGTACCGCTGCGACACGGGCGCGTACCGTTCGCTAAAGGGCCGCTGCCGCCGCATCTGCAGGAGCGTGTCGAGGAAGATCCAGTGCTGGCGGGTCCAGACCGTCTGCGAGGGGGGCTCCCGTCGGCGATGCTTCTTGACCGGTGGCTTCTTCGTCACGCCTGCGGGCTTGATGATTCTTGGGGCGAGAATCGAAGGCCGGTTCTGATTCTGTTGTTGTTGTTGCTGCTGCGGCTGCGGCCGAGGCATGCTGCCTTTACCTGCCCGTGGCTGGACATGGTTCGGTACCGCAGCGGCAGTGCCGATATCCTCTCGGGACACATCCCCGTTTGCCCGGAGGCGCTGTTCGCGGAGCCGAGCTTGTTCCTCGGGGGACAGCACGCTGCCCGAAAACTCCACCACTCGCCCTGGCGTGTGAGGCTTCAAGGGAGAGCGAAGATTGGACTTTTTGGGTGAGGCATGCCTTGGCGGCAAAGGCCTCAGTAATGGCTTGAGGCTGGGCGAATCGTCGCCAGCATGCGATGTTTCGAGCTGCCATCTCTGAATGTCTTCATGAGTCAACTGCATCCTCGTCGGGCTCGTACTCAGCTGAGACGATGAGGGCTGGAAGAATGAAGAGTCGTTGGCCTGTCGCGGCCGTGGAACAAAGTTCTGCTTCTGGGCAATGGTAGGGAGACCGCGTTCCTCAGGGGTAGCGGGAGATGAGGCATCTTCAACTACCTGTCCCTCCACCGGTGGATCAGAGGGAATGGAGGAAGATGCAGGAGCTGTGCGACCAAAATCCCGGGAGCCGTTTACCGTCTGATCAAGGCTGGGAAACAATGACGTCGTGGGCAGTGTGGGAGATTCCTCTTGTTGGGCTGCTGCTTGTTGATCGATCTGCTGAGCAGAGGTTTTCGGTTTGGTGGATTTGAACTTTTCGGCCAACAACCCTGGGAGCGCAGCCGGCGAAGAAAAAAACGACGATAGGTCAAAGCGCTTGGGATTGGACGCTGTTGCCGGCGCTTGCTCAGGCTGCTTTCGAGACAACTGGGGGGACTCATCATCCTCAACGTTCCTGTCAAGCTGCTGTCGACCGACCGTCTGGTTCGTGCGTGACGCATTTGGCAAAGCTCTTGCCGCAGTAACGGCCGCGGGTGCCTCTTGTGCGTCTCTCCGAGAGCTTTCAAGGCCCGGCGCAGTGTTGTGCTCTTGTGTCATGGGCATCATGGGCATCAGCGGCTGCTGTAATACTGGGCGAGGCGGTACTTCCCGCTGTGCTTCGTATTCCCAGAGATCAATGTCATCGTCGTCATCTTCCTCCTCTTCGTTCTGCTCTTCTTCTTCCTGCTGCTCCTGCTGCTCCTCCTCCTCCTCTTCCATTTGGGCTTCTTCCCGCTCATCTTCGTCTTCTCGAACTTGATACTGGTCCTCCTCCTCCCTTTCCCCCTCCTCGTCAACACGATCAGGCTCCTCTCCGGCACCATCAACCTGGACAAGGGGGAGAGGCTGATGAAGGCTTCTGATACCCGAATAGCTTGATGGTTGAAGTAATGGTTTATTGCCTCTAAAGCCGGAGCTTATGGGGTGAGTCCTTGCGAACAAATCCGTGGTAGCGCCACGTGATGGAGTGTCGTTCAGGGAGCTTGCTTCTGACTCTCTCGAGGGAGGGCGATTCCTGTTCAGGGGCTCTCTTGCACTCGTATCAAGCACTGGACGTGTGCTACCGAAACCTGTACCGAAAAGCCTAGATCCAGCACTTCTCCTTTGGTTCGCGGTCACCCCATTAGCAGCGGACTGGTCACGGACAAAGCGAAATGGCTGAGGCGGGCTTTTGCTCGGAGGCGGCTGGCTACCTTCGGTGGCGCTGTGGGATGGCTCTTTACTTGCAGAGCTCCTGAACGGACTCCTCAGCTGTTTTTCCCGTTCTCTTGGTGAGGGAGGGTCGGAAGTGACGGTCTGCAGAACTCGACCAGCTCGCATAATGGAGGAAAGGACCGGCCGCAGAACCGGGTACTGCACGTGGTCCTGAGGGACGGATTGAGGGTCCTGAAGTGGCGATGACATCTGCTGGGGCGGTGTGGCCTCGACTGGCTGCACCTCACGCTCAGGTGTAGGCTCTAGCTGCTCAGGTCCTTGTGAGGATCTGGAGTGCGTATCTTGGTCGATATGGTTTCCCTTGGTTTCTGGCCGGCGGCGCGCAAGGAAATTCGGTCTCCAACGGTTTGAGAATTCGTAAGGGCGCACCTCACGCTCAGGTGTGGGCTTCGGCTGCTCGGGCTGTTGGGGGGGAACAGAGTGCGTTTGTTCTTCGGCATGGTTTTCCTTGTTGTCGAGCTGGCGGCGGGCAAGGAAATTTGGCCTCCGGTGGTTTGAGAATTCGTAGGGACGCACTTTGCGCTCCTCGCGCTCCTCGTGGTGTTCTTGCTGCTCACGATCCTCATGATGCTCACGATCCTCGACCTCTTCTTGATCCTCGTGTTCGTCATGAAGTCCATCGTGCTCGACCTCTTGCTCCTCATCTTCTTGTACCTCATGATCTTGAGCCTCATGAGCCTCGAGCTCGTCATGCTTATCATGTTGGTCGACTTCCTCTCCATATTGGGCATGCTCTTCGTATTGGTCGACTTTTTCTCCATGTTCCTCGAGTTGGTCATGCTCATCGTGTTGGTCGACCTCTTCTTCGTGTTCCTCAAAGTCCTCGTGGTCGTCGTGGTTCCCAGAGTCCTCATGGTCGTCGTGGTCCCCAAATTCCTCGTGATCATCGTGCTCGTCGCGGTGGTTGAAGTCTTCTCCATGTTGTTGAGGCTCTTCGTGCTCCTCAAAGTCTCCGTCTTCTTCCACATAGTCCTCGTGTTCCTCGTGCCTCTCGATTTCTTCGTGCTCTTCAATCCCTTCCTGCTCGGCATAATAATCCAAAGCCTCCTCATGTTCCTTGTGATTTTCCTGCTCGTCCAAGTCCTCCTCTCCCCCTTGCTGTTCGTGGTCTTCCGCTTTCTGCTCCTCGTCATACTCTTCCATATCTTCCTCCTGCCGCCCTAGGTGTGTCGGATGTTCTTCTTCTCTCTCTTTCTCTTCATGGTCAAGTTCCATATCTTCCCTCTGTCCCTCCTCCTCCTCCTCAAATTCCTCTTGTTGCAGAAGCCCCTCGTCTTCCTCGTACTCTTCATGCTCTTCATATCCCTCATGCTTTTCGTGCTCACCGTGTCCCTCGTGCTCCCCATGTTCTTCGGGCTCCTCTTGCATCTGTTGCTCCTCTAACTCTTCAGCAGGCTCTTTATAGTCAATTTGCTCCCCATCCTCTTCAAGAACGCCCTGCTCGTGGTCTTGATTACCCCCGTGATATTCATAGGCCCCGTAGTCACCATAGCGCCCGTGCTCCCGGTGCTCACTATCCTCGTCTTCGATATGTCGTACGGGAGAACTCATCTCGGACATTGCAATCCTCATGGGGCCCAGTGCGACTGCACTGTACGGTTGTGTGGCAAAAAAAAATTGTTGCGGAGCATTGTTGGCAGATTCTTGGAGGTTGTCGTCCGCAGGTGCTTCGGTATGCCAGGCTAATGCCTCGCCGTGTTCTTCCTCGACATGTTCTTCGGCATCTTCCTCTTCGACATGTCCTACCCCGGCATGTGCCCCTTCAGCACGTTCTTCTTCAGCATGTTCCTCGGCATATTCTTCGGCATGTTCCTGGGCATGTTCCTCAGTATGTTTTTCGGCATGTTTTCCGATATGTTCCTCTTGAGCATGGTCCTCTTGCACATGGTCCTCTTGAGCGTACTCCTCTTCCGCATGCTCGTCCTCTCGATGCAACCCGTACTCCTCCAAGTCAACCCTTCGGTCGTCCTGGGTGGCAGAAAAGTTCAAGGGCTTGGGTGCTGCAGTATCGAGATAATTACGAGGCATCTCAGAGAAAGATTCTCGATAGTCGTTTGAGCGATCTCTCCTGGACTGGGCGGATGACGGCTGCTTGCCAGCCTTAGTGGGCGTCGGCTCGTCCTCCCTCTCATGGTCAAATCTGAACAGTCTCCCCGACCTCTTTGCCGCTGAGCGCAGCAGAGTCTGATGCCTCAGCGGAGAGGCCCCCGAGGTCCCCATCTTCTTAGGTTTACGGGACCACCACGGGCTCAGGCTCAGGCGCGCGTTTCTTGCCGACTCTCGAATGATTGGAACAAACTCGGGCTCGGGCTCCGGCTGTTCTTCGATCTCTGGCTCCTCCGGAATCTCGATTTGCTCCGTGACCTCTACTGGGTCACTGCTTTCGGCAACTTCTCTCTTGAGCGATGCCAGTGTGTTATTAATGATAAGGTGCGTCTCGTCGCCAACATCGTCATCATCCTCAGCAGGCTGAAAAGAACTGTTACCGTTACGACTTCCCTGCAGCGAGGGAATGGAGTCCATGAAAATCATGCTGAAGTCCTCTCCCTGCGCGATCGTATCGTTTGTTTGAGAACTATAATCATTGATGTGCTCGTCCACAGTGGAATGATCGCTTGCTTCTGGAGCACGGTGGTCATGGTCACTTCTGGAGGGCAGCCGAAGAGTCGAGGGCTGCGCTGCAGCCCTAGGTGTCGCATCATTGTTGGGTCCTGGTATCCAATCCGATTCCGTGTCTGCGTTAGATGCAGCATCCGATCCATGTGCAGCATCATTCTGGGCGCCTTGCCTCGACGGAGGAGGTTGTATTAGATCCACGGCGTCGCTTTCGCTTACGCGCCGACCGCTTTGGACTTGGCTTCTTTCTGCTGCTGCTTCCTCCGCTATCCCAACCAACTCATCGGGGGCCATCGCCTGTCGTCTACGGCCTCGTTTTGTAGCTCCCAGTTCGCTGGATGGTTGAACGGCCTGGGCTTTGGGCGGCCGCCCTCGCTTTGCGGTTGCTGGCGTGGCGTGAAAATTTTCCTTGCCCTCGTCAAAGTGCAGCTGTGTGGTGCTTTCCCCTCCTCCTCCTCCTCCTCCTCCTCCTCCTCCTGCTCCTCCTCCAAATCTGTCGGTGCGTACACGGCGTGGATTTCTGCTGATCGGTGAACCCGCCCTCCTCTTGACGCCCGCCTGCGGAGCGGGAGTGCCGTTGGACTTTCGAGGGCGGCCCCGTCTCCTGCTGGGGGTGATGGCGGCTGTGAGCTCATCTTCGCCGGTCTCCCTCAGCGGAACCGTCGTCGTGACTGCGTGGTCGGTTCTGCGCCGGACGGTGGAAGGCGACTGGACCGGCGACTTGAACAGCTTCCGCCTCGTGCCGCCCGGGGTCGAGGCCATGGTGTCGTTGGCGCCCCCGTCGCCGTGGCCCTCCGTCTGGACCTGGACCGCGACCGACAACCGCTGCGACGACGCTGGTTTGCCCGCTTGCAGCAAGTTGAGCGTGTGTTTCCGGGGCGAGGCTGCTGGCGAGATGGAGCGATGCGGTTGGCTGTGCGACACGCGACGCGACGCGGGCTCGGTTTTTGGATCGGGCGCAAGGCTGCTGTTAGCACTCGCAGCAGCGGCGGCAGCAGTGGTAGCAACTGCGATTATAGTGGGTTCGTCCAGCGGGTCGGGCGAGCTCATCAGATCAAGGCTGTGGCGTGTCGGGGGCCGCGATGCTGTGCCAGCGGAGGTTGGACGAGGCAGACGCGGGCTGGGATCCGGGCCTTGTGCGCCGGGGCATCTGCCGAATGTTTCATTCCAGATCTACGGATTCGACTCAGTACAGTATGGTATGGTCGCCAAGCGCCTTTCGCATCACAAGGCTGCTAAGGTACTAAGCCTCAGCGTGAGGTGCGTGCAGAGGATTTGTTTTTAGGTAGGTTGTTTGGAGGTACCTGATTCATCCACTGACTGACCGTGACGTGTAAAGCTACTGTACCTACACATGCATGTAGCCTGGCCCTTCCGGGCGCTGCCTATAGCGGCTTAGCCTGGCCCTTTTTAGGCCCTCTTCACTTCGATTCCCTCAGTATTACGAGGATTTCTTTGAACCGCAGTATCGTTACTCCGGGCCGCTCCCAATACATACTAGTATACAGCTTGTTACCGTTGTGTGCAAGTGATCCATGCCCTCCAAATGGGGTCAGCAAAGGACCACCAGCTCAGTGACATGGATGCTCTCTCATCTAGTAGTATTATTACTTCCCCAGATTTTGCCAGGCTTCCATTCAATGCTCTCGGATAAGGTATTATCCAAGCAGCTCCCACTACTAGCAATACCTTCCTGGTAATAATAATTACAATAGCCAGCGGCTCATCTTTAAACCCAACCTACACTTGCGCCTTTAGTGACTCCCGCCATCCCCAATCCAGCACCAACCTCGGCATCGGCCAGATCTTGAAACTCTCCATCACCAGCATCTCGTCTCCTCCCCGAAACACCCCGCCAGAGTCACATGCAATCCCCCCAAGCTTCAGCGCGCTAGCGGGTTCCCACGGGGGGAGGCATGACTTCATTCCAGCGCATTTCTGCCGCGCTAGAGCGCCATTGACTGCCGTGACAGAACAGCACCCCGAAGCATGTCGTCGGCTTTCAACCTTCATCCCCAGACGGAACCTCGGCTTGCATCGTGCCAGGGGTGGCTGCAATCGCATCAGATGAATAATCCTACTAGCTGAACCTCCAACGTACATAGCTTATGCTATCCTCGCCGATATATCATTGAGCTCTAGCAGCTTTATCATCACTCCAGTCCAAGGTAGTCTTTCAAATCGTCGCGCGCCTTGTCATCCCGGCACAGGAAAGGGCCTTCTTCTCACTTCACAACAACCGACCGCCAAGTTTCCAACCTTGACTCCCTCGCTCGACAAACTTCAACGCCAATGTCTGCCAAATCGCCTCTTCCGCAAAACGACAATGTCGCCCACGCCTTGGCCGGCGCCGGCGGCGGCATTCTCTCCATGGTCCTGACGTACGATATCCCTTCCCATCTTTGTTTCGTTTTGTCTCTTGTCACCGTAGCCCGCTGTCGGAATCGCTAACATGTGTCCCAATCCCCCCCCCCCCCCTCGCGCGGACAGCTACCCTCTCATCACCCTCTCGACCAGAGCCCAGGTCGAGTCCAAAAAGGCCGAGAGCAACTTCACCGAGGCCATCCAGAAGATCATCGCGCGCGAGGGCGTCTCGGGCCTGTACTCGGGCATCAACTCGGCCCTGTTCGGCATCAGCGTCACCAACTTCATCTACTACTACTGGTACGAGTGGACGCGGGCCTTTTTCGAAAAGGCCGCCACCCGCGCCGGCCGCGCCAGCAAGAAGCTCACCACCGTCGAGGCCATGATCGCCGGCGCCATCGCCGGCTCGGCCACCGTCATCATCACGAACCCCATCTGGGTCGTCAACACGCGCGTCACCACGCGCCGCCAGGAGCCCGACCTCGAGGCCGCCGGAGCCGACGGGAGGCGCGGCAGCAAAGGGCCGACCACGCTGGGGACGCTCATGTCCCTGCTGAAGAAGGAGGGGCCGCGGGCCTTGTTTGCTGGAGTCGTTCCGGCGCTGGTCTTGGTCATCAACCCCATTCTCCAGTATACGCTCTTTGAGCAGATGAAGAATGCCGTGGAGAGGAAGAGGAAGATGACGCCCACCATCGCGTTCCTTCTGGGGGCCCTGGGCAAGCTGTTTGCTACTACCGTGACGTATCCCTACATCACCGTCAAGAGCCAGATGCACGTCGCGGCCCATAAGGAGAAGAAGGAGGGCATGTCCCAGGCCTTGAGGCGCGTTATCAAGGATGAGGGCTATGCCGGTCTATACAAGGGTGAGTCAGATTCATACCTGTCAACTGATCGAAGAAGCAATGTGCAACTGACGAAATAAACAATAGGCATTGGCCCCAAGGTCACCCAGAGCGTCCTCACCGCTGCCTTCCTCTTCGCCTTCAAGGATGTTCTTTATGAACAGACTGTGAGGCTCAGGATGGCTCGCAAGAAGGCGTAAATCTAATCGTACCGCGCCAGTGGTCTTTCTGTTACCACTACACTGTAATTCAGTTTCTTCCGCGACAGTTTGGATCGAAGGTTCGAACGTTGTTTAGGGGACCCATAGATAGGGGCCTTTTGACCTTTCTTTTACTCCTAGGCTGTACCATTAGTGTACCATCACCACACCCAAGATGATATTTCTGTAAGGACGGAAGGTGATATTTCTGTAAGGACGGGGGGCGATATTTCCGGGAAGATAGAATGGGCTCTGGAACTATGTTCAAAGAGATATTGGAAGTTAATCGATGTATGTATGTATGTATGTATGTTTGCCACGAATGAAGAAAACTTTTGGTTCTGTTTCATCTTTCTTCGTGTCCTCCTCTCCTCCGCACAGATACTTGAACAAAGGTTGGGACTTCTTGATATTAAACACTACCTACGTCTCTCATGCCAACGGCACTATCTTTGGAACAATCCAGAACGCATGATACGCCCTCTCCGGTGTAGGAACCTCGACTTTGATCTTCAAATCATCCGGATCCGCGGCCTTGGCCACCGCCTTCTGCACCGCCGCAATGGCAATCTTGGTTGCAATGCACGACTTGAGCCCGTTCTTGGCACCCTCGGCCCACCGCTGGTGAGAGCCGACCGAGAAGGACTCCTCGGCAGTCATCTTGCTCAGCGCCTCGAAGCCCCTCTTGGCGCCCTCGACGGCCCGCTCCGCGTACTCAAACAGCTCCTCCATGTCCGTGTCCGGCTGCGTCGTGCCGGTCGTGAATTCTTCAAAGGTGGGCAGCACGGGGAGGCCCACCGGCGCAAACGGCCTCATCCGGATCTCGTACCGGAGCTCGTCGGTGCCGTACGGACGGGGAGGCGCCTTGATGAGCTTGAGGCGGTTGAGGATGGTGTACAGGCAGGACAGCGAGTCGGAGAGCTCCCATGTGACGGCTGCGTCGAGCAGGGATAGGCGGGTGTACATGAGCGATCGCTGCAGTTGCGTGCCGACGGTGTGGTCTGAGGGCATGGGTTGGGCTTGCGCCTCTTCGACCCTCTTGATGACGAACATCTTGATGCGCTCGGTGTGGTGCAGGCGGGACTTGGAGATGTAGTTGAGATACCAGTACATGCCGGCGAACTCGTCGGCCTGGTAAATCTCCAGCTCGAAGCCCAGCTGGATGATTAGCTCCATCTGTCGTAGCTTGTACAGGTACGTCCACGAAGACAGGGGCAGCGAGTAAGACTCCACGCCGCCACTGCCAATCGAGGACCTGTACATTGTCGGCTGCTCCTTGGCCTTGACCTGGAGGATCTGGTCGATTTCCTCAGCGTCCAGCTGGAGAGCCTCCCAATCGCGAACAAGGTGGCAGAGCGTCCTCCTCACCCGACACCGGTTCTGGCACGCCGTGCGCAGGATGTCCAGAAAGGGCTGTGCCGCCCTCGTCCTGAAGAGCTCCATTTGCTGCGCCATGGCGTATCGCGGATCTTGGACGGCCTCGACCTCGTCGTTGAGCCTGTCCAGGTATTGGTGTGCCGGCATTGTCAAAATGGCAAAGTCGTCGTCGAGGAGCTGTCGGATACTCATAGACCCTAGAACCTCCATGGCGTCGAAGAGGAACGTCTGCAATAATGTTCGCACGTACACGATGGGCTGCGGCTTCTTTGCTTGGAACGTTGTTACGAACGTCTGATGTTTCCTCGTCAGTATGCCTAGACAGTCGCGTACACCGAGTTCGCGTCACTTACCAGCAAGCACTGCGAATCGGTGTAATGCAAGACGTTGATCAACTCCAGGGCGTCTTCGAACAGGCTATTCAGGTGACCAAAAGCGACGTCAAAATCCAGTTGAACAATGGGCCGCGGGGGCATAGTGCTGGCCAGCTTCCTCTGCAGCTTAGCACTGAAGGCTTCGTCCACCGGTGAGGCAAGTGAGTGAGTTTTCTTCAAGGCTGGCAAGATGGCAAGGCCTTCTTTCCAAGGCTTCTTCGCCAACTCAGGCTCCTTCATGTGCTTGGGGCATTCCACAGCATCCAAGAAGATGTGCCTCAATTGCAGGCGAAGCAGCAGGGCTTCAACTAGATGTTCCGGTATAGAGCTTGTCTGCGACTTGAGAGCCGCCATGGCCTCGAAAAGGTTGTCCTGGATGGCGCTTGTGGGTAGACTTGCGAGAAGTGTGCGGTTATATGTGTTGGTGACAAAGTCTTCCTCCTGATACGAGGCTTAGCAGCAGGATCACCATTAGCACCAGAGCATAGACGCTCACCTCGTAATAGTGCTCCGACTTGATCCTCTCGTTGACGTAGCCGCAGCTTTTGAGCATGCCCAGGCAGTACGCTCGGAGGACCTGAAGCATAAGCTGCTCGTTTGGGTCATGACCGCCACCGCGGATGAAAGTGGCCTCCTGAATGCTGCGAGGATCCGGCATAGAGAGTGCCTCGACGTAGAAGCTCGTGAAGAGAGTCTGAGAGAGAGGATATCCTAGGTGCCATGACATCTGATGAAGCATGAGCGCATGAAGCACGGCACGGCGCATACATCTTCGAACTGACCTCGTGACATAACAGCTGGTCTATGATGCCGAGTACCTCCTCTGGGAGCAGTGGCCTGGAGACGTCGTAGAGTTGTTCTACCTCAGCCTCTGCAGCCGCGCATCCACTGTCCATCTTTAGGTCCATGATCTATCACCACGTCAGCATCCCGGAGCCTCATACTAGGCCTAGGCCATATGCCAGCAGAAAGACGAACCTCCAGGGCTGCGACGGAGTCAAACAGCGTAAAGAAGCCATCTTTGACGATGGCCCCCGGCTCAAGCGCTGTTTGTTTGGTTGTCTGCAGTCAGCTTCCGTGTACTGCAAACCTGCAAACCCGCGCATCTCTTCCCCCTCCGAGAATGCAGCTTTGCTCACTCTTGACGGCATCTGAAAACTTTGCTGTAATGTCCACGGCGATGATGCCCTCGCTCCGGATGCTCGGCGCTAGCGTCTCCGCAGGCGAAGAGCCCTGGCCCAGCGACAATCTCGCGATCTCTGCGCTGCCTTGCGATTAGAAATTATGCTTGGAGTGGGTGATGATGAGCCTTGAGTGAGCCCGTCTTGGAGGGGGTTTTTTTTTCCGCACCGTCTGGCACCCCAACGCCAAAGTCAGCCATGTTCTTGCAGATGCGATGTTCACGCTCGGCGGAAGTCAGCTTTGCATAGTCTTCTTATTGCGCGTGCTCTGTCTATGAAGAGGAGGAGAGATAAGGAAAAAGCGTGAGGTGATCTATGCTCCCTTGGTGGTGGCTTGAAATGGGGACTTGGATTTTGGGTGACAACTAAAAGGTAGGTACGGTACACCGTTCGCGGGCCGAGACACAGGCCTACAGCGAAGGACAGCAGCACAGGACAGTGCCAGGCCGTTTTGAGCAACGTCGCCTTGTTTGATACACAGTTTTGACGTGGAACTGCATGCAGAATTTACAAGAGAAGAAGAAGCTTATATTGAGCTTCGTTCGATGCATTTTACCGTAGTGACGCCGGCGGCTTCATCGCGAGCTTCGGTCGCATTCCCCACCATGCATACAATTCTCGTCGAAGCCAAGTCACCCCTCCTAAAGCGATACCAATTTCACAAGGACAAGGCGACTCAAGCTCTGCTCGAAGCTCCAGGCGGCCAACGTTGGATGATTCAGTTGCCTCAATGTAATGATGTATTGCAGCAGTTAGTTATTTTTACATGGCCAGCAATTGGGAAGTCAGCCCCCAATCGCATGGCCTTCTTGTCGCTTTCCACCATCTATAACACCATTATCTCGCCCAACTCGTCCCTTTGCTTTTCTTTTCCATTGTCCGGCTTAAGAAGAGGCGCTCTCGGCCATGGCGGCGGCGTTGGCAGAAGCCAGATCCTTGGTCTCACTGGGCTTGCCGTTCTACTGAGGCATTAACATCCCGATCCCGGCTCTTTGTCGACATCATCTCGATCCCAGTCCACATACCTTCCAGGTAGCAAATCGCAGCTCGGAGACAGCACGTCGCTCAGCAACAATTCTCTTGTCCTCCTTAAGGCTTCGGCGGATGGCGCGGGCCGCGACGGCCAAGTAGCGGTTGTAGCTGTTTTCATGGCAGGTTAGCGATATGGGCTCGCGGGACTTTGGCGGGTGAAGAAAAAAGTGTCGCAGCGCAGCGGTCGGGAGCGCATTCGGGGCAGCCGAGGACGAGATCGCTTCGGCAATGGGGGATCAATTGACGTACGTCAAACCGGCGGCTTTCCACGCAGCAGTCATTTTGGCGGATGGATAGGGTTGAACGGGCGAAGAGAGGCGTTGTTAATGATTGCCGATTGAATCTTTGCCAGGATCGAGCGCTTGAGCCTGCAACTAGCACCTGAGGCTGCAAAAAAAGTCACGTGTGTGGAATGATGACTCAGCGGCTGGTTCCGCGTCTTCCCGTCAACTTCAAGTTAGGTAGTCTTACCTTACCTAGGTACTCAAGACTGTACCTTACCTGGTACGGAATCACCTCCTCTGTAGAGCTTCGAGTTCTCCAGCCATCACCATGAATTGATCAATTACTTAGTGCTTCCTACAGCTACACCAATTCACAATGGACACAGCCTGTGCTATCACAGCTCGCACAGGCCAGCAAGGCAGCAACTTGAAGTGCGCTTTGCCCGGAATCGGCCATCTCGCATCAGCGGATCCAGCAAAGACGCAGATGATCAAGTAAGCAGACAGGGTTCATCTCCCATCTCTGTGCTACGATGAGCTTGATTCGGTCATCTTGAGCTCAGTGCTTGTACAGATGGAGCGAGAGGAGCATGCAAGGATCCTGGAAAACTGGACTATGAATGCGGAAGGCTGGCAGAATATCAATGACACTCTGAAGAGAGCTGAGACGCGGAGTATCTTACTGGCAAGGATTCAAGAATTGGAATCCCTTATTGGTTCATGATATCTTGCAAAGTGCCGGTAATCGCTCCACTGACGAGAGCTCCCCTGTGGCAATGGTTCTACTTATAGCCAGGCGTCCAGAGCCCTGATGCCTCATCAGCCTGGCTTGTCTCTCAACCTTCTCTCTTCACATGTGCTTGTATACTTGGTGTAAGTAAGCAAGGAGAATGTCCCTTGCTGTCCGAGGCAGACGACGCCCGCTGCAGGAGCTGCTCCTCCCCAACGGCAAAAGGATAATCGTGACACTTCCTGAAGATCTCGAGGACATTCGCCGCCAGTACCTGAACGATGAACATGCCCAAGTGGAGGTGATTGTTCATGGCTCTCTGGAGCACAGCGAATACCTTCGCCAGTCCCGAGACCATCACGAGGAGCGTCGGCAGCTCTTGCGGGAGCAACACGGTCCTGCCTTTGAAGAATGGGAACTCGTCCACAGCCAACTCGCCTCGGTGAATACAGAGCTAGAGCGTCTAGAAAACCACGCGTCAGGGCTTTATGGCAATTTTGGCAAGTTTGGCTACGACGCTGCTGTGCGGACTTACAGCGATGAAGATCCGCCAATTCCTTCTTCTCACACGTCAATATCTGGCAGAGTTCGAGGGCAGCATGGCCAGGAGGCAGAGCGTCGCGGAGAAACGACCAAGTTGTTCAAGCGGCCAGTTATAAGGCAGTGGTTCCATCAGGGTCTGCTATGGAGAGCGTCAGAGCAGACGGAAGTCATGGCTATTGAGCTCTTCCTGGATCTCGTATACGGTATGTTGTCTGTTGCCACAAAGGCTCGACATGAATGATCTTGGTTAGTAACCGCGGCATCAGTCGGCATCATTCATTCCAACGGGGAGCACATGGCGGAAGAAGCGACAGCACGCGAACTACTTCGATTCGTCATCACGTTCGTCATGACCTGGAAGATATGGACAGACATAACCCTCACGCTCAGCTGGTTTGAGACGGACGACGTGGTCACCAGGCTGGAGATTTTGTTCTGCATGTCATGTCTCATCGGGTAAACCAACATCAGTATTAGAAATTGACACAATAAGGCTTTGGCTGACATGCAGCAGATTCACTACAAACATGACCCATATTCTTGTCGAAGATCCTGCACACAATACCTATGTGCAGCTTGTGTCTTTCTACCTCGCCACACGCATCTCAACCGCAGTCTTTTATGCCATTGCTGCCTGCCTTTTGCCCATGGTCAAGGGCGCCATGCTGTTCCAGATAATGGGCATTGTCGCCCCGACTGCTCTATGGATCGCCAGTATCCATGTCAACATGCCCGGTCGTCTGGGGTTCATCATCCCAGCATTGGCTCTCGACATGTACAGCCAAGTATTCTCCATCAGGTTATTCAGATACGGCCAAGGGCAGGCCCCCGAGAGCAGGTGGAAGCAGCGGCTCGGTCGCATGTTTGAGTTTTATCCCGCCATTAGCATTGAGCATCGAGTCGAAAGGATGAATGCGTTCGTGTCCCTGGTTCTTGGCTACTCGGTCGTTGCCATCCTGTTCCAGAGCGATGGTGGCTACAACATCAATGCCTTTCTGGGGAAAGCCATACTGGCTCTGATGCAGGCGTTTACGTTCAACTGGATCTACTTTGACGTCGACGGCAGCGGCGTCAGTCTGCATGCCATTCGACGCTCTGCAGTCACTGGTATAGTCTCTCAAACTGCTTCAATCTAGAAAGGTCCGGCTAATAATTATGCAGCCGGCCTATGGGACATTGCTCACCTGCCGTTCATCATGGGTTACATTGTGGCCACAGCAGCCCTCTCGAGGCTCGTCTTAGCCACCGACGTGCCAAACACCAATCCAGGGCAGCTCGCAGTGTCTTACCGAGACAGCGCCGAGGATCAGTTCGGCTCCGGCGTGCGTTTCTTCTACTGCCACGGCCTGGCCATTGCTCTTCTTTCGATGGCAGCCATCTCCTTTTCCCATGAGCACAAGAAGCCGCCAACCCTTCGGCTGCACAAGAATACTCGGCTCGCCAACCGCATCGTTGCTTGTTTCATCATGTTCTTCTTGCCTATGGCGCACTCGCTTCGATCTCTTGATCTGATCTCTATTACCTTGGGCTTGTCGATATGGGTGCTCATCGTGGAGCTTTGGGGGAAGTCGTGCACAGATGACCCCTTCATCGGCGAGAAGGATGGCTGTTGCATTACGTACCATGCAAACTGCAAGAAAGATGACCTCAAGAGGGTAAATAATTCAAATAGGAAGCAGATGAATAGTGAGGTGCTGGAGCTAGGTAGAGGAGATAAATCTGCTGTTTAGCTTGAGTCTCGTCTTGCATCAACTGCCAGGAACGACACATAGCAGAAGCATTTCTTCACAGACGTATTAAGCTAAGAATATTATATCTTGCGATATCAAACATGATGAACGGTCTATAACTCAACAGGTAGCATATTCATCGAAAACTTCCATCCCTCATCAAGCAACAAGCGACGCCGTAGCAATGGCCTGCTGCATCCTCCTCCGATCAACCTCCTTCTTCAACATAACAAGACAACTCGCCACCACCAAAACCTCCATCTGCTCCCCCTCCCCCTTCGTCCCCTCCCACTCCCTCAGATCCACCATCAACCTGCCCCCGTTGCCCGCCGTCGTCGCCTTCGTCCCCTTCGTCCTCACCTCTTCATTCCGCACAAACCGCGCCACAGGGATCCTCCTCTCCTCCTGACCCCCTCCCTCCAGCGCAACCATGACAATCCTATCCAGCACCAGCAAGCTATTCGCCCCCGCGGCCTTCCTCTCGCTCTTCCCCGCATAGCGCCACGAAAACGTTCCAAGATGCGTGCGAAAGACTTGCGCCCTGGTAGTGAGCCCTTTGTTCACGACTTCAAATTCCTCGTCGTGGGAAAGGGCGCCTGTGAGTTGCATTCTGGGCGGACGGCCGGGGCCCCAGCGGTACGTAGTTGTGCAGACGGGATTCTCCTCGGAATCGCCTGCGCGAACAAGGATGCTGTTGCCGGAACAGCGGAGGAGGCGGATGGATTCGTATGCGAGGTGTGTGACTTGGCCGGAGGCGAGGTCTACGTTGTATATCGGGATGGAGACGGGTCGAGGGGGTATGGGGAGGGCGATGAGGGGGTGGCCTTGGGATTCGATCTGGAAGGCTTTTGTGCAGTGGAAGGATGGTTGAGAAGGTGAGCCGTAGGCGTCGAGATGGTGGTAGGTAGTGTCGTAGGTGGGAGGCGAAGAGCTGGAGCGAGAAGATGTCGTCGAGAGGGCTCTGAGTTCATAGCTGCCGGCTTCATAGGGGGGTAGAGAGGGACTTGTTGTTAATGATGATGATGCCCGGGAGGACTTTTGGTTGTAGAAGAGGACTTGTGTTTGAGTGGTGGTGGCCATTGTATGGAGTTGGCGATGAGGATGTCGTTGAAAGGCTGTGTCAGTAGACTCGGGGTAATGCTAGGTACCTAGGTAGGTAAGGTAGGTAGTGAAGTGATGTTATGTCTTGAGTGTATCTGGTTTGATATGAACCGGCTGATGCATGATGCTCCAAGATGCTTCTCAACGTCACTTATATATCTTTCCAAGCAGCCTTATACTGGACTAACCTCGCATGATCATCATCATCCACTACCTATCTGACAGGCACCTCATCTCCCCAAAGCCACCAAGGCAGCCAAAACGCCCCCCCAAATCTCAGCCAAAACTGCCTAACCCGACCAATACGGCCTTTCCAAAATACCTACTTAGCCTCAGCCACAACCACAACCATCCAGCTCCTGCCCTGCCTCACACATCTCGACAAAAAAGAAAAAGCGGATCCCGCGATGGCTCTTGCCTCGCTCAGCCCAAAATACGTGGAATACGATGAGCGCGGGCCAATCAGCTTGCAGCCATGGATAGAGACCATGGCTCTTAGCGTTGGCGCCGTTGGGTAGGAGGATCGGTTTTGTGGAGACTAACAAAGCATAATCGCACCTACCTTGATGCCCGGCAAGGGGTGTCAACGCCTCGTTGTCCGTCTCGTGGGAAGCCGTGATTGGCTATATCGCCACCATCACTGGTATAAGATGCCCTGGAGTGCTGATGCCTGTACACTTGGAGATCTCGGTGTAAGAGACCGGCTAGTATCAGGAGCAGTTGATTGCTTTGATGACCGCATCAAGACTCTCGAGGCTTGGCACAAGGAGTAAGAGTATCGGGGAGTCGGCATATCTATTAGACCTCCAACACCATGGTATAACGGCAGATGTACAATCGTACTGCTCGTATCAGCATCGGCTGCAGGTGCATGCACGAAGGAGGTCCACGCAGGTGGGACTACTGATGATTTCCAGGTTCACGAGACATCGATCTGCCCTTGATCCGTCCTCCAAGATACAGGATACAAATCATCTGCCTCCCCAGAGCTTTGCAGCCTTTCTTCCCATGTTTGGTCTCTGATATCAGTGAATACACGAGTTTATCGTCAATGGGTGTGGCTGATAAAAAGCAAGCTCCTCTCCTTCTCCTACACTGCCTACCTACTAATGAGACACCAGATGCCAAACTCCTTCAAACTGAATGAAATTGAAGCCTCGTCCAGACGCCAGCTTGTCTACGTCAGCAGATTCACTTCAAGTGCCCATACACTACCAATCACCACCTTGTCGTTCCATCCACACTTTATGCCACACTGTAATCAATAAAATGTCCGAAAACCACACACACGTGTGATGCCAATGTGTCGCCACGCTCGCATCGAAAACAGCTGCGCCTCTACAGACGCTTTCCGAAAAAGGTAATGTCGTTGTCCAGTTGTTCATCCACCCACATCGGCCACTGGTTGAACCTTTGATGTTCATGATCCACTCGCGCGTTGAGGTGTTTGAGCCATCGGATGAAGCCAGGATCGATGCGGTTCTCTTGTCGAGCAGGATGCTTCTCTCGCACCGCATACTCTTGCTCGTTGATGAATGCCATGATCTGTGACAGCCCAATCCAATGAGAATGCAACAGAATAATGACTTGGTTGTTGGCGTTGATGAGATCTTGAAACGAGGCATGAGGCATCAGCATCCACCATGCATATAGTCTCGAATTTGCCTTGTATGCTTCGGTGAAAGAAACGTCAGCAATGCCAATGTCATCGAGTCCGGCAATCGGCTTACCATCAAACGAGTTTGTGAGAAGACGGGACGAAACCGTCATGAGATGCTCGTGGTACTCGATTTCGACTTGCCGCGTACACAGGGGACGCAGGTTCGTAATGGCTTCAATGGCTGCCTCCGCCCATCCTCTCTGGATCAGCGGCAATCCCTCCATATATGGGGCGAGGACATCATCGCTGTTTGTTTCAAACAGATTGCTGAAGAGGGGTTTGATGCTCTTGAACATCATCTGCATCCCCACAATGACAATGCCGCGGATAAACGTCATGTACTCGGCCAACCCATCTTCAAGGCTGACAGATTGGAAAGTCAATGCAAAGCACGTGGCGACCAGGGCATTGGCCTCCTCGAAATTCGTGTCCATCTTTGACGTCTCCATCAATCGCTTCTTGATCGCCTTGACGGCCTTTATGCGGTGCCCCATGGCCACAGGAGCAAGGCTGCTGTCAGTATGCATCAACTCAGACGCTGCGTAGCCCAGGATGGCGTGCATAAGGAATTCATGCTGGGGGGGCGTTCGTTAGTCAAGAAAACATGGCTTCGCCAGGCATTGCCGTCGTTGCAAGGCCAACTACCTATGAGCCTTGGACCTACGTTATGTGCTATGCTTGGAATCTCATGGGTCCAGATCTCCTCCTGCTTCAGCGGATGGTGGGGGTAGCATTGGGTCAAAAAGTATTGGAAACATCGCATATCCTGCAAGCTGAAGAGGGGTATCTGGTTGTGAGGCTGCTACATGTGTCAGCGCAGTTCGCGATGCCGGCCACTTGCCGAATGAATCGCAGAAGTCCTCTCGAGACATACCTGATGGGTAATCTGGGGCGAGGCGGGATATTCGCACTTCAGGCCTGTCTTAAGACAGTGGCCGCAGGCTGGATGTGTCTCTTGGCACTGCAGCGGAGCACATGCAGCAACTGTCGCATCAGCCTTTTGTGTCCTGCCAATGGCTACAGATGCGTTGCGTTGCGCCTTTACCTTGATGCGCCTCCTCTTGCAGTTGTAGCATCCCCGGCGGCTCTTGGTGTGGCCTCTCCTCTCTAGCCGCAGCCTGCCTTGTTCCGGCAAGCGGCGGAGGCTCAGGTCGAGGGGGTTGCCGTTGTCGCCGTTGCCCGACAGACCCCTCGCGCCGGGATCAGGCGGCGTGTGCATTCCTTCTCCTGAAGAGCCCGAGAGAGACGCTGCTGATTGACCCTGCATCGGATCCGTGAAGCCCACGTCGTCGGCCTGCAGAAAGGCGGCATAGTCGAATTCAGAGGGGTCGGGGAACGACATGATGTCGTTGTCAAAGGATTGCAGATCCATGGCGGGCGACGGTCAAAGGAAAGGGCGTAAAAGGGCCTCTCGGCAAGGTAGACGCACGTCGTTACGGATTCGGTCGCCGGGTGACTCCTGTGCGGCCCCACGCAGTCTGCTCGGGAGAGGACGGTGGTGACATATACGCTGGGCCCGTGATTGGCGCGCAGACACAGTCGGTCTCGGTCTCGGCGCTCGCGTAAGAGTCGTGAGAGCTAAGGTAGGTAGGCAACAAGATGCGGCGGGCGGAGGAGCAGACGGCTGAGCAAAAGTGAAGCTGTTTACCGTCTGGTCTTGATCATCACATGCAGTATTAGAGGGAAGTGTGAAGCTGGTCGTTTTGAGAGTCGGCGGCGTGGGTACCATGTAGTAATTGATTCTAGCCGGAGCTGGAACGGAGCTGGAGCACCTTTACTCCGTCCCAAGGCAGCAAGTGGCTGTTGAGGGCATCCCATCCTTCCCATCCAACCAATATCTCGGAGGCGGTATGTTGTTTCTATAGCCACCGAGGCGGCGTACATCCATCTTCTGGCCATTGAGGGCCAAGCTCTCCAGTAACGTGATAAAGACTCAGCCTTCTGCACAGCCTCCCATCGTCCATCTCCCGGTTCATTCTTTGGCTGCCATGCGTCCGACTCGATTCAGCCTATCTAAACAGACTTACTCAAGAAGTATCTGACCGCATCCAGCCTCCTTGGAAGAAGAAGTGCTAGTACCCAGGCGTGGTGACCAAAGACCCAAGTCGTGGCAGTCTCATTAATGCCTCAGTAGAGCTTCATGACGCCTTCGCACGTTGCGAGCCTGACGGCGGATTGTGCCTGGTCTGTGGCGAGAGGGCTTGATTTTAATTGACAAGGAGATGAAAGGCACGGTCATGTGCAAAGCCCAGCTGCGAGCTCCCCATCGTCTCTTGGTCTTTTTCTCTCGACAAATTCTAGGGGGGATCAAAACGCCTTTCCGTAACATGAAGGCATCTCCCAGGATGCATCGCATCAGTGCTGCCGTTCCTTCGTACTGTGCTTACCTCATCAAACTGCCTTGGCTTGGAACAAACTCACCCCGCGTTTCTCCCCACGCCTCCAGGTTAATCCATCAAACAGCTTTCAATAGGCGGCGATGATCAATTGGGCGACACCACCACGCAGCGTGATATTGGCGCTCGTTGATGAGCCTTGTGAGGCATTTTGCTCTTGGCATCCATGTTCCGGCTTGAAGCTGCACAGCGTTGCCAGGATCGAGTGGAAGACGAACGCATCTGGCGCGGCCGTTTGACAATCCCCCTCGAGCTGGCGGATAATCGGCACCGAAGCGGGTAGGAATGCCTGTTTGGTGAGGGATTCCAGCGCAATGCGAAACAATGCGCAATTTGAGACGTTGGGCTGTCGAGCCTCCTGAAAAGAGCTTCACACGTGGGAGGATTTGCCTGGAGTTCTTTCTACCTATCTCGCGGTTTGTCTTCTAGTACTAGGTAACCGCTTTCAACTGATATTGACGCCCCGCTGCCGAATTCTCCCAAAACCTACGCGACTCTACAAGAGTTGTCAGATTCAGCAAACATTGGGTGCCGGAAACCTCATTCTTGGCGGCCATCCACAGCTCGGTAGCTGCCGATTGGAGGCCAAGCGTAACAGCTGGCATTGAGATCTTAGCAGTACTCCATTGTCCGCAGACCTTCCAGTATCGGCTGGTCAACGAAGCGATAAGGATACACCGGCGCGACCATGAGCATCATTCTGTCCAGGTTCCCCCAGGAATATGGTGCTAATTAGATGGATACAATGACAGCTGAAATGGAGCTACGATGGTGGCGCCTCGCCGCAACTCGACCGGGACCTGTCAACCATCGTGACATGTCAATTGCTGGTATTGATGCTTTTTTTTCTTCCAACGTTCTCAGCTTGCTGCCAACGAAACTCAGACCAGGCTCTGGCGCCTACTGACACGCAATTTCCGGACATGAGGCGACTCATAGTGATCTGGAGTTGGATGCCCCAACCAGAACAGCCGAGATCGTGCTCTCAGTGATGGGCACAGCGGGTATCGATGTCACCAAGATTAACGGAGAGACAGATTGAAGCTCCAACTGAAACGCCCAAACACACTCAATTAATCAACTCGACATGCCTTTATGCTATACGGGTAAGTTGAAGTCGGTCAAACAGCAGGACCAAACGCTCCACCGCGTCCAAGTCGGCCCATTGGTCGAACAGGCCGGGCAGCGGTGACGGGTTGCGTATTTTGCTCCGTATCTACAAAGTCCTCGTATGTGTTATTTCACAAAAGCGCCGCTTCTGTCAGTCAAATGCCCGGGGACCTGCCATGATTCTCCCAGGGTTCATGATCCTTGCCGAATATCCTGGCCCCTGAACCTGGATACTACTACAGTACATGTACTACCATGCATGGGGCTTCTTACAGTAGAGTAAGGTACTTACGGAATCAAGGTGCGAGCACACCGACGACCAGGCCCGTTGACGTTCTTGGGCAGAGTCTAGAATCCAGAGCCGGAAAGGAAAGGGGCGAGCAATTTGACATATCGCGCCATCCGGGTAAGGGAACGCGTGGAGTTGTCTCTCTCGGCCTTGATCACACAGCCATCGAACTCTCCGGAGGCACGACAGGGCCAACGGTTTCCAAGAAATTGTCTGCCCACCTCCTTTCTTCTCAATCTCAGGGACAAGGCCTCTATCTGGGTAATGATACGGTGCGAGCCTGTCTGCACAATGGAGAAGGGCCCGGAGTACAGATACGGAAAACTGCAGGCAGTGTCCAAACAGGCTCTTGGACCGAGGTGCAAGCTTCGAACAAGCATGCATACAGTGTTAGGAGCAGTATCCACCACGAAAGGCACGCAAACCCTTTGATTTGATGCTGATGATTGGCTTTATATGGGAGGCATATCACTGTGCAGGACAAAGACGTGGTGGAAGGACATCCTATCCTACATCTCTGCTGCCCATCAGATCCTCGGCGGCTTGGAGCCCTAGACGCCAGGCGACCAGGCAGCGCACAGGGCACAAAATCGAGAAGCGTTCTACCGACGCAATCCCTGCAATCGTAAGTCGAGGCGAGGCTGAACGACTCATGTCTCTGTATGCCAAGCAACGCCGGAGGAAAGAGGCAAAGAAACAAAAGGCAATAAGAAAGGAAACAAAAAAGCCACCGCCAACTCTTTTTGTGTGTACTATTATCCCGGGTAGTCTTGGCGACTTACCGAGCCAACGTGGCCCAGGGGTGGAGCCCTCGAGGTACTAAGTACCAAGGTCGCCGCCCAACTGAAAAGGCTCAGCTTGCAAGTGCATCGTGGGCCGGAAAGCCAAGTTTGTTGGTGTCTTAGCTAGCTGCGATCTTAGGCGGCTGGCTCTAGCCCCCTTTGTGACCAGACCTGGCGGCCTTTGTTTCAGGATATGCCGTGGCGTGAGAGTTGTGTACAGTAACATCGTTGATAATACTACAGTAATGTGCTCAAAGAGGAAGAGAGACAACATGCGGGATTGGAGCCACGTCTTCATGAATGCAGAGTTTGCGTCCCCCAAGCAGGCTTGCAGCTATCCGGTGCTGATGCAGGGCGCGCAAAACTCTATTCAACGCAGCAGAACGGTGTGTCACAGCCCCGTGGGAAAAAGAAAGGCTCAGGAAAGATGCCATAGCCGGATCCATGGGGGATGCTGTGCTGTAGGACGTTCCCACACTGACAGGCAAGAAAAAAAAAAGGAACAAAATAAGGGCCTGGTTCGAAAGTCAAATGAAATACCCGTGTTCGATTGTTTGCGGAGAAATGACGAGTCTCCATTCCTCCTCGTACAGCGGAGTACTGTCGTATGTACTCCCGTGCGCGCCCGTATTCCATATATGCTTCCATTGAGGAAACATTCCTCGATGTTTGCTTTCTCTGCCCACTGGGCTTACGAAGCAAAGCCAAGATGCTGACCTCCCTTCTATTTTGGTGGGCATGAAACCAATAGCCCGGGCATCGACATCCCCTGCAGTCGAATCGACAGGGGTTGTACGACGCGCTGTCTGGGAGGGATGACGAGTCCTTCCTTGTAACTTTTCTGTCTGCTGGGTGGAAGATGCCGAGGGTCGGACAAGGACGGCGTCAGTTTCCAAAGACTGCAGTTCTGCCGGGACTCCTCTTGCGTGCGTACTATGTATACCTAGGTAGTGCCTCGTACGACGAGTGGATGATAAGGACATGCTCATGCGTTAGTACCTACGAGTAGTCCCTTGACCTCAAGCTCAGCAGCTCGAGGAGGCCCGGTCAGAATGTGAGCCAAGACAGACTTTGGAATGGAATACGAAAGTAATCATGTGTGAGCAAAAGCTGTCAGACTCGTATTACTACTATTAGTATTCGTCAATCTCTCTGCGTATGCGTGCGTTTGCCAGTCGTATCTGCACCTGCATCTCGTACCTTACATGTACATGAGACCCTCACAACCCACTTTACAGAGCAAGGAAGATGCATTCGTAATACATAAGGTACTTGCAGCTTGTTTTTTGATTTGTCCGAGCAGGAGAAAAGGGCAAAAGCCCGCATCAAGCGCTGATCCCTACGATATACATGTAGTTTGTGTATCAGGAGAAGATGCCAGCTGGAGCCTGCAATTGGGGCTGCCTGCAAGATATTATCTGACGGATGAAAAAGTGACAGAGACAGGCACCGATGGCGTGGCCGAGGCTCCTCATTGTGTCCGGGATTGCCTGGCCAGAGCATCGAGGACCGTCTCCACCGGTGCTGGGCTCGGGCAACCAAGCGAGGATCTGGGTACAGTACAGCAGAGAAGAGACTTGAGAGAGAGCCATGGCATCCCAAAAACCCTCTTCCTGTTCCCATCGCGGGACAAAGAGAAAAAAAGATTATTGAAAATTCAAATTCCAGAATGCAGATAAAAATCCTGTTGCCAGATCCCACCTCAGCCAGCCGGATCTGGGCTGGGCAAACGGCTCGCCATGCGAGGGCGGTTTCACCTTGACTGCAAGGGTGGCCGCCGAGCGAAGCGATTGGGCGCAGGCGGGCCGGCCTCGGGCGCTGCAGCTGGCTGGCAGCCAACCGGAAGCCTGTGCCTGGCGGTGCGGCGGCCAATCAGCAGCCGGCGGGCTGAGCGCCAGCAGCCTCAACTGGGCGCTGTTCCTGAGGAAAAGCCCTCCTCTGACCCCTGGCGCTAGAAGGCCTGGGCCGGCGCTAGAGGACCACCGCGACTGGGGCCTGGTCGGTTAACGGCCCAGCTTGGGAGCGTGTTGGATAGGCCGCGGTCGGGGCATTTCTTGCTTCGTGATCCCTGCATCCTTGCTCTTTTTTTTCCTTTTCCTTTTCCTTTTCTTTTTTTTTTTTGACTTTGGGTTTCCTGCTCGCCCAGTTTCTGTCGTGGACGGACGACCGGCATGTGCGGAGCTTTACAGTGTTTTACTTTTGACTTTTGGTTGCGGTGCGAGGCGATTGTGCTACGCGAAGGGAGACAGGTCCATGTCCAGATAATGCCGTGAACGGATCAGTTGGCATGCAGTGCCGTACTATTGCTGCTGCTGTGCGCCCCTTCAACCACTCGTCCATTCGATATCAATGGAACAAACGGCAGCACTACCTTCCCGGTTACATATATGGGATTCTGCCTGCCAAGCAGGACTTTCCTGCTGAGAGCCAGGAGGTACTTGTACATGTCACTCACTGTGTGGACCGTGGCAGACTCCATCGAGGCCAGCTCTGACAAGTATCTGCGAGTGACTTGACAAAACAAGGCACGCTTTGTACCTGATAATATTGCCAGGCTGTGGACAACGACCCGAAGCTTCAATGTTCTTTGTGCTCGTTTGTGAGCTGCTCTGTTTGCGTTGGGAGCTCTAGAAAGCCACTTACCTTGGGTGCCAGCCATTGGCTGTCCGCCCTCGTACCTTATCTCGTCGAGCACAGCAGCTTTCCTCCGCGCCTCTGTGTGCCTATCACGGTGCCAAGCTGCAGCCAGCTTCGGTGCTTCCAAGCTGCAGGAACCCTCTCCGCCCTCTCGCAGCAAATCATGCAGCCCTGAATCGCGCCTGTTTGTCCTCTGCAGGTACCGCCAGCCTTCCATCAATTGCCACAGCACTACTAGAAGCCCCCCCAAGGCCCCTCGCCTTACAGGGGTCCCGCTGCCTGCCCCCGTTGCACTTGTACCGCTACCTGCGCCGGGGCCAGCGCCTGTACCTTGCAGCAGGCCCTGCACCTGGCGGCTTCCACTTGCCGGGTACTTGAGGCCCCTCGCCCCTCTGCTCCCCAGTTCATCTCTTCCCTTCTCCTTCTCCTCACCCTCTGCAGCATTTCTTTTTCTCCCCTTCGTCTTTCCTTTATCTTCTCCAGTCGCCAGTTCGACTTCGACTTCTTCTGAACTCAGCCAGGCTGTTCCACTCCTTACTCCTGTGTCTTTGATAGACCCTTCACTCCTTTACCGGCCGCGCCGAACTCCAACCCAACTGCCTCGCATCAGAACAACACAACAGTCAACTCGACTTGTCTTCACAGTCTTTATCTCAACTGCCAGAGCATCAACAAGTAAATCACACAAACCGTCAACACCAGACAAAATGTACAAGGCCGTCGCCCTCACCTCCATCGCCGCCCTCGCGGGCCAGACCATGGGTCTCAACGTCCACCGTCACGACCACCACCAGGTGGCCAAGCGAGCCATCGAGACCGACTGGACCACTGTCTGGGAGACCGTCTATGTCACCGTTGACCCGGGCGCGTCGACTGCCGCTCCCGCTCCCGCTGCTGCTCCTACCGGCTTCGGTGCCAAGGACATCCCCAGCCCCAAGGCCTCTGCTCCCGCCGCTGGCAACAACGCTGGACCTGTCCCAACCGTCACCTCGACGTCCACCGTTGTCATTGCCTCGTCCACTGCGGCTGCTTCGCCCTCTGTGGCTGCTTCGTCCGCTGCGGCCGCTCCCGCCAAGGACACCACCACCTTGATCACCGCTGTCCGCCCCAGCACCGTCGCGGCTCTCGACATCAAGCTGCCTGCTGCTTCTTCCTCGGTCCAGCAGTCCTCCTCTGAGCAGGCCGCTTCCTCCACCCCGGCCGCCCCGGCCACCACGGAGACTCCCACTCCCACTCCCACTCCTACGCCTTCTTCCAGCTCTCAGGCTCCTCCTCCCAGCACCACGTCCAAGGCTCCCGCTCCCAGCAAGGCTGCCTCTCCCCCGGCTAGCAGCGGTGGCAGCCCCTTCCCCAGCAAGCGTGGTATCGCTTACAACGATGGTCTCCTGGCCAACACCTTTGGTGCTTCTTGCGACAAGTGCGGCTGGGCCTACAACTGGGGCTTCTATCCTTCCGGCATCGACACCAGCAAGTACAGCTACGTTCCCACTCTCTGGGGCCCTAGCCCTGACCACTCTACTGGCTTCGACGCCCAGGCTGAGGCTGCTATTGCCGCCGGCTCCAAGGCTCTCTTCAGCTTCAACGAGCCCGATATTGCCAGCCAGTCTAACCTGTCTCCCGCCGATGCTGCCTCTTCTCACGCCCAGTTCATGAGCAAGTACGTTGGCAAGGTTCTGATTGGTGCTCCCTCCGTCTCCAACTCGGGCGCCCAGGGCCAGGGTCTCTCTTGGCTCCAGAGCTTCGTTGATGCCTGCAACGGCATTGACGGCTGCTCGTTCGACTTCTGCAACATCCACTGGTACTCTCCCGCCTCAGCCATTGACACTCTCTTCACCCAGCTCGAGAGTGCTCACCAGGTCTGCGGCGGCAAGCCCGTCATCCTGACCGAGTTTGCCACCACTGGCAGCTCTGACGCCGAGACTGCCGATTTCCTGCAGCAGGCTCTTCCCAAGCTGGATGCTCTCGACTACCTCATGGGCTACTCCTACTTCATGGTTGGCACTGGCAGCCTGATGTCTTCCACCAACGCCCTGAGCTCCTTTGGCAACACCTACGCCACCGAGTAAAGCGGCGGCATCGAGAGCATCTTTCGTTTCTTGTACAGTACCAGCTAGGGATATCTCGATACATCTTTAGCCATTTTCTCGGACACAGGATTTTTCTTTTTATCCCGGCGGAGGAAGCTATCTGGTGTAGGTCAGAGCAGACAAAAACAACAGGGCATAGGGGGGAAATAGGCGCAATCTCAATTTCACTTGTACATATTTTCTTACCAACTGGTTCTTGGATGCCTCCATCCACAGTATCGGTACACTGATTTCTTTCTCTCTCTCTCTCTCTCTCTCTCTCTCTTTTCCATTGCTTTTTTTGCCAAATATTGTTTTGTAAACGGAAGTGAGCTCCAGTCATGCTGCCATGGTCGCCTTTGGTGGTCATCTCGGCCTTGCGTCCCATATTTCACTTCAATGTTGCATGAGACAAAGGACAGAGAGATGTTCACGGAAACGAAAACACGAAAATGCAGCATGTACCTATGTATCAGAAATCGGTCGCGGACAAGACCTAGCATACCTAGATCTACGAGCTACGAATGGGAACAAAAGTCCTGCGATTGTACTCTTGTTTTGCTTCTGCCCATTGTAATCTGTCGGTGAATTCTGTAACCTTCATTCAATCGCCTGTCGCTTCGGTACTAGTTGAGGTATTGATTCTCACATGTTTGCCTTACCTATAGTAGTTCATATGCTGTGACTTCACTCGTTGCATAAGTGACGGCTTCGTCGTTCGTCATGGCATTTCACGTGATTGACCGTCACCTCTAAGGCTGCACGTGATCATATCATAACGGAGAATCCGCCTGGAAGTACAGGTATCAACATCATAATGAAAATAGGTAGGTACCTAGGAGTACAGGTATCAACAAAAGAATTCCATCAAGGCAATAGGGCAACCTAAGCAGCCGCTTGCGTCTCTCCAGTACCGACTGGTTGACAGTAACAGGCATCGGCCTTGTGGCCAAACTCGTCTCGAAAGTGAAAACCCCCCGGCGGAATCCTGGCCTGCGGCGAATACAGCCCATCTTCCGCCGCCAGACTGGGCCTGCGCGACCTTAGACAGCCGCACCCACACCCTCGCAAAGACTCTCTCGGTTGACCGATGAAGCTGTATGAACGAGGTCGCGTCTCGCTCTTGATTGTTGTCGTCACCAAGACGGCATTGGATGGTTTATCGGCCACCTTGTTGGCGCTGGCATCAGAGGGGCCACCGTCATGAGGATCAACATCGTCGGTTCCCGGTGATCGACGCCTGGTTGGCACGAGCGAGGTGTCGGCGAGAGTGGATAGCGGCGTCTCGTGGAGCTCGCTTGGAGTGGATATGCGGTTGATCCCAGGGCCGAAATCTCGTGATCGTCGAGCTTCCCCAGAGGAGTTGCTGCTCATGGTCCCGGCGTTGTCCCTGGACGTGACCCATTGGATCACGATCGCCGAAAAGAGGACTATCGTGATTGAGCAAAGAGTCAGCCGAGGCCATCGTACGGAGAAGACGTGGAAGTAACAAACTGTCACAGTTGCAGCACATCAAGCATACCCATCCCGGCTCACCATTAAGGGCCATCAGGACGGATAAATTACTGCAAACAATGGTCAGCCAGCGACGTCGCGGGGGAAATCGAGTCATACACAATGCTGCTCACGAGCGTGCAGACTGCTCCGCAGAATGTTCGGAATGCGGCCATGCGAAGACGGATATTGGCTCGCGTCCGTGGCATGTTGTTGAAAGAGTAGAGCTCTATCATGTTTCAGCTTTGGCCATCCCGTAGGCGGACCCTATCGTGGCTCACTCTTCAAAGGTATGAGAAACATAATCGTCAGGTAAACGTTGATCACGGTATCAAAGGATATGAGAGGGACCATCGCCGCAGTTTTCATCCCGATGATGCATTCCCCGTTTTCCATGTCCGTGATTCGGCTGCTTCGATGTCAATGAAGCTCTTTCGCGCCGAATATATGGAGAGCTTACAAAACGAAATTTACTATAACGACTGCGACGTAGATGGTGAGCATGCCCAGCGAATTGACCAGGTATAATCTGGATCTCAAGCGTGGCATTGTTGCACCGCGAATGATGTACTGGCTTGCAACGTCAGTGTACAAGTTATCTGTTGGCTTGATATGGAGACTCACAGCCTTTTCAGCGAGAAACAGGTAGATGAACTGGACGTGTTAACAGGGATGATATCCGACCCATGGCATGGGGAAAATATTTGCTCACAATCTATCAATAGTATCAGATCGGCAATGAAACATTTGAGCGTTTGAACCACAGCTGGTCATGTTACCTTTGTCGTGACATAGCACACGAGGCAGAGAATGATTGCCGCTTCACATATACCGTAGCTCGAATTGACCCCGAGCGAGTGCTGGAGGACAGCAGTAGCAACGACGAAGACGTATGAGTCCGCATATATTGCGAATACCACTTGGTGGGGTGTCAATACATCTCTGCCGAACATATAGAGAATTGCTTGTGGGTTGTTGGGGAGCAGAACTTACACCAAACGACCGGCGGCAATCTCCTCCAAGCTTTAATGACGAGAACTCTTTGAGCTGGACAGTGCATGGCGTTTAGCTTCCATCATCACGGTGGACATGGCAGCTAGCAGCCTCACTTAGAAACAGTGTCAGGACAGTTGTCGCTGCAAGAGAGATGGCAACGCTGATGACTTGTCCGGGAAGCGGAACTCCAGCCCCTTGATGTTGTGACGTCGTCTTGGGGGTCATTTCGGCGTACATGCGTGGACGCCGATAGAAGTTGATGACAATTGTATGAAACTCGAAGGGCAAAGGGGCTGCTGCAGTACCAGGGTCCTCTGGGTTCCGTATCCAAAACGGTTGTAGTATCCAAGAAAGGCGAGAGCCGCGAGAAAGACGGGCTAGGAAAGAGTCATGCTGTAAAGAGCAGAAGAAACAGTAGATTTGAACTGAGACGAGGATGAGCAGCGGCGCTCTGTGGTTGATAGGAAGCAGTTGCAGATACTAGGGTTGCTGAAGTTGGTGGAGGTAGAGGACGAAGAGTTCATGGTCTGGGATAAAGGCAGAAGTTTGGTTGCCTGAGGAGAAGAGAAGAGGAACTGGTGCGTAGAGTCCTCTGAAGACAAAGGCAAGTGCGAGTTCCGGGGCCTTATTTCCATTTCCATGAGGAAGAGCTCAATGTCTGAGAGTCTGGAGGCACATGTGACTCTCTCCTTCCCAAAGAACAGAAAAGAACAGAAGGTGGGCTCATAGGTAGTGAATTGCTGGGAAGGTCCAGCTGGTGATCTACTATTACATTGGTTGGTAACACAGGCAACACGGTACCTATACCTAGTACCTCAGGTAACTTACCTTACCTTGGTAAATCGCGTCGACTGCGATATGCTTCGTCTCAATGGAGGGTAGCCCTGCAATTCCCTTATACCAACCAGTGCACTTGCTCAAATTTCTTCCACAAGGTAGTCCCTGATATATTTTGCCCCTTAAGAGTACACTATGCAAATCCAGGCTAGATTCACGATGTATGACGGTATCACAGGAAGGCTGAAAAGCCAGCTTCTGGTTTGCTCTCGGGTGAATAGGTGCAACACGCTCTATACGGCGGCGAGAGATATGCCTGCTGGTCCCGACCTTGTGGGGTTTACTCTAGATCTCAGCTTGCACAGACTCTCGTGAATACAGTACTCTGACCAGCAGGATACATGTATCGATGCAGCGTCGTCTGGAGCAAATAGTGCGGTCCTACGTCGCCGGACCTCTAGTACAAGGACATGTCCGAGACAACGACTCGGCGCGGATAAAGAAGAACACACTCAGCCGCCATTCAGCCTTTGGCCAGTCATGACCAAACTCTTCCATAAGGCCCGAAAAATCATGTCTACTACTACCTAGGCATTATAGCTCTCCGTAGGTATCAGCTCTTGATCTCACAAAGAGTCGATACTTAGATAAGCATGGCTGTGACGGTGGCAAAACTCTCCCCTGACGATCCTCGTCACCAGCAACCCCAATCTGGAGTCTCCAAACCGCCCAGAAAAAGACCTAAATATAGCACATCCAACATGTGCAGCGCCTCCAGCCACGCAATTCGAGGTTCCACTTTCTTTCTCGCATGCCGCGTCAACGCTTTGGAATTCAATCGTCATGCCCTTTGAATCTACAAGACACGAGATCCTCTATTTCCTCCCTCTGTTCTTTCAGCCGAATTGCTTTTTCTGGGCGTCTCTCTCTTCAGCTTCCTTGCTTCCATCGTGGTTAATACTCACGTGCGATTCTCTCGACATACTAAGGTACCTGTTTACTTGAGTAGGTACCTCCCAGTGGTGGGGTGAAACCAGCTGCATCTCGTACATCCCACCTGACTTCCATACCTCAGATCTCTAATCGAACAACCACCTACAAGATACCCTAGCAGTGACACTACCTACTTTGTTTTCCACCTCTTCCCCCCAACATCACCAGAAGCCTCGTCTGAAAATGGCACCGTGGCCGCCTCTTGAAAGCGCTTCCAGCATCCACGCCTCCTCCGAACTTCAGCCCCATCACCATGCCCTCGTCTCTCGAAATCTCCAGCATCCAACGCACACCCAGGCCGTCACACTGGGTGTCATTGGCGGCTACGTCGTGGCCATTGCCATCCTCTGGAATGTGCCGTACCTGCGCATGATTCTCTGGCCATTCAAGGTAAGCACGACAAACCTCATCTGAACAACCATTTTCCTCTCCTCAAAAGGGAACAGTAAGATATATGACCTGTTATGACACACTGCTAAATCTCTCTCCAGATGCTCGTCATTGCCTTCCACGAGTTCGGCCACGCCATCACCGCCATCCTCACCGGCGGCCGCGTCAAGTCCATCTCGCTCGACCCCAACGAAGGCGGCGTCACCCACCTCTCCGGCGGCATCAGCGCCATCACCCTCCCCGCGGGCTACCTCGGCTCCTCCCTCATCGGCGCCCTGCTGACCATGTGCGGCTTCGACATCGTCGCCAGCAAGGTCGCCAGCATCGTGCTCGGCGTCTGCTTCCTGCTGACCCTCTGGTGGGGGAAGCGCGACTGGCTGACGGTCCTGACGGTGCTGCTGGCCGTCGGCCTGCTGGTGGGCTGCTGGTTCATTGTGCATGCCGAAGCGCTGCGCTTCGTCGTGCTCTTTATTGGCGTCATGAGTTCGCTGTACAGCGTGTGGGACATTTGCGATGACTTGATTCTCAGGAAGGTGAACGAGTCGGATGCGAGCGTGTTTGCCAAGAGATATGGCGGCTCGTCGCAATGCTGGGGCGTGATCTGGTCGATTATCTCGGTGCTCATCATGGCGGTGGGCATTGTCGCTGGCTTGGCGGCCTTTTCGCAGTCGTTTCAACAGCAGGAGGAGGATTCCAAGCACTTTATTCCCACCTAGATGCCCATCTTTTTTTTTTTCCCCTTGTTATGCAATGAGTCGGTATATCGGAGATGAGGGTGGTGGCAGACGCATATTGCGCTCAAGACTTGCAATGATTTTATGATACCCAGTGTTAGGAAATGACGAAGACTGATCCATTGACGAATAGCCAGCTTTGACAGTATGAGACAATGTATAATCAATTCAATCTAAAAAGAAAACGGAGCTATATATAGTAAAAAAGAAGGGAAATAATGCTACTATATAGTAGACATCGGAAAACAGGACATGTATACATCTATTCAAAACCTACCTACCATCACGTACCAGCCACCTGTTCCAGTTCGAGTATCGCCAAACACTTTGCCGTTATTTATTTCAGAGCGTCGACAACCTGGTCCTCAAAGCCGCTGTTCTGGTACAGCTGGGACATGTCCCACATCATGGCGCCAGCAAAAGTGTCAAACTTCTTCGAATACTCAAAGACGGACTTGAGCTGCGCGTCGGAGACGTATCCATGGCCGGCATTCGGACCAGCAGGGATTCCAACGAGGAGCTTGACATTGGGGTTGGGGCTCGTCTTGGCCCAGTCCTCCCACGTCTGGTAGTTGTAGTTGTTCTGCTGCTCGGAGCCAGGCGTGTACGCGCTCACGCCGCACGGGTTGTTGTAGAACTGGATCTGGATCCAGTCCATCGGCACGGCGTTGATGAGCGGGCCCACGGCGGCGTCCGGGAAGAAGCACTGCGGCGCGGCGGCCAGGTAGAACTTCTTGTTGCTGTCGGTGGCGGCGGCGTCGCTGAGAGTCCGGAGCTGCGCGCCAAAGGCGACGAGGTTGTTGGTCGTGGACTCAAAGTCAAAGTCGAAGCCGTCGACGACGGCGTCGCCAAAGGGGCGCGGCGCGGAGCTGTCGGACTGGACGGGGCCGAACATGGCCCAGACCTGGGCGGCGGCGTCCTGGGCGGCCTCGGGGGAGGCCCAGCCGCCTTGCGAGTAGGTGTCGCCGCCGAGGGAGAGGAGGATGGTTTTGCCGTTGGCCTGGCAGGTCTTGATGTCGGCTCTGCGGTACGGTCAGGTTGGGGATGCGTAACGGCAAGTGTCCGGGAGAAAGAAGGGACTCACTCAATCTCGGGGCAGCTCAGGAGCCAGGGGTTGTCGGAAAAGGGGGTGCATCGGTCACCGGCGTTGGCAAAGTTGGTCATGGGGGGGTTGATGCCGTTCAAGAAGGCGATTTCAATGACGTTGATATTGTCATCTTGACAAGCTGTTAGCTGTCTCTCTCATCTTTGAAATATTGTTCTCTTTGAGGTTTTGATGATGGGACAAAGACGTGTCGTACCATTGCAGTAGAACGAGAGGCGCTGCTGGGTGCTTTGCGAGTTGGCCGAGTTTTGCCCTTTACACGCAAGTTAGACGAATGTTATTCTCACACTTCCATGCCCAATAGATGCACTTACCCCAGTACACGGCAATGTTTTGTTTCGAGTCTGGGTTCCAGCCAGCCAGTGCCGAGGGAACCAGAGCGAGGAGGCCCGCGAGAGCAGTCAAGGAAGGCATTGTGACCAGTGTTTATATCAAAAGTAGCGGTTATATTGTGATGCTTGTCGTTTTTCTTTGGCGATGAGGAACAGAATGCCATCTCGAGAGGTTGGACAAAGTCCTTTTATATCTCCTTTCCCCCCTCTCTCGTTCGGACATGCTAGAACACACAACGTGAGGAAGACGCTTTCCATGCTGTCTTACACTGATGCTACATCAACCTTGTGAGCATACGTGGCATCGAGAAACGCATCTTGCAATCCCCTCATCGGACGAAAGAGACGATGCGAGACGGGGGGGCTCATGAAGGGGCCCGTGATAGGGGCATTGCTACCTTGGGCGGCTTCGTGAGCAGGTAGCAAAGAGGGAAACACCAAATCGGTATCTCGCCTTGAAATCGCCCAAGTCATATCGGCAAAGCCAAGATCATGCTGTTGGTGACTGTGCATATCGAGTCTGCCAGGTGACATGAGATAACTTGGCAGGACGTAAGAGGTTGGTGGCATCTGGAGGTGCATGCCGAGACTAGGCTGGGTCGATGGTCCGAAACATTCAGGGGTTTCCTGACTCTGCATACATCAGATGCAGGTGCTCAGCTGCAGTAGCACAAACATTTAAGAGAGACGATGTGATGTAATGTGTCTTTGCTTCGAGTATGACCAAAACGGTGCCAGCGACTTGCCGTCTGTTGTATGAAGTGGCGATGCACGGCCCGGTCCTTGTTTTGCGTGATGGCTTCAGCTGATATCAACCCCCGTGCACATGAAGCGGAAGAGGCAAAAAAAAAAACAAGAGACCCGCGCTCGACAGATGTGTTCACGCGTGAGCGCCTGCAGACACGATGACGATGAAAACAGATTTTTCATGAAAAGCACTTCGCGGGGAGATCCTGGATGACACCTGATTGGAGGAGTTGATGCATCGTGACTTGCGTCTTCCCTCGTGGAGGAGGTGCTTGTAAGGTGTAAGGCCTGCCCAGGACCCAGGGGCGTGAACGCTCCTCCTTCTATCTTTGGCAGCTCTCCAGATCCCGATCCTGGCTTGCAATCCCACATGATGGATTCTCTTACGGCATATGGCGTAGATGGCAAGGCAATATGGGCAGCTTGTCTCAGAGCTTGGACAGCAGCGGGATGTTTGACATCAGCTGCTGAGCCTGAGACCATCAGGAGCCGGTCTAGAGATGTACTATGGAGAATATCGGCTACAAACTTCAGAATCATAAGATAATCAAAGTCGCGAGTAGAGTTACACATACACATTGCCACAGTGTATTTGAGCGGTAACATGCAATCAAGTATAAGAGGCCCTTACTCTACCCAGGCGGTGGTTGATATCGGAACATGACGAAGATGTAAACTAAACTCTCCCTACGTAACAAAGGAAGAGAAGGTCGGTAATTCCGATACCAGAAAAGCACATAAAAAGAGTCTCGCCTTGCCTTGAGGGCATCTTGATTGAGCTTCTCGCCTCGGCTGAAAAGCATACAGATAGGCGAAAAGGCTGTGTAGATGGCTTCCGTCAACTACCACCCATTAGGCTGCGTGATCCCTGCAAGAATGCTGGCCGCAGCAATGCCCTGCCCCCTCTCTTGCTCTCCATCTCTCATACGTACAAGGAGGTTAAACTCGAGCTTGATTTTGACGTAAGTAGTATGGCAAGGTAACGCCTTGCAGGGCGTGTCGGCTGCCATCGGCACTCGGCTGGATGAAGCTCACATGCTTGCAAGTCAACAACAACGTGATCCTCTCAGATGTTGCTGATATAATCGACGTGTTCTGAGACACCATATCCAGCATGAGATATATAGCTCGCTCTCTAAAGCCATCCCAGCTCCAACAAACACCACTCCCAACGATCCAGATCCACGGCCATATCACATCTCCAAACAAGCACACGTCTTTATCCCCTCCCCCTTAGGCCCGTCACTGCAGGGCGTTCCTTGCATCTACCATACTGTTCCATCCCTCTAGCCTCTTGGCAGGCCATACAAGACCGGCCGCTCTCCTCTCTTGGGAAGTTCGAGCCTCGAAGGTCCAGACTAGGCCCGTGGCTGCCACAGCTGGGTAACGTTATACTGGATGTCAATGCCGGGCTACACAGAAATCTTTGAATCATTCAGGTAGACGAGCAGAAATGGTGTATCTTCATTCTCATTGGCAGGTCTCTAAAGTGTATATTCACATACACTTACCATGCGTGTAAGAAACCACATTTCATATCTCCATCGTGGCCACTTGCCTAAATCATCCATTATCGTGACAAAGAGGTAGCAGCGTTGTGTGTTGCTGCCGGTGTCCCCTTGATAGTGCTCCTATTGGTGTCTTCCTTGAAAGATCACGTCCGAACGGTAGGTGTGACTTGTATTCGCTCTTCCAAGATAGCCCATAGTCTGTTCATCTTCGATAGAGATCAGGCATCCAGTGGCCGTCGGTACCAGATTGGTAGCCCAATCATGCGGACCGCCAACTCCCTATGGTGACCAGTCGTGCCTTTATTCCAGCGCTTGGAGTCGGTAATGGTAAAAGGCACCCAACGACATGCTCAGTCTTCAGCCGCAAGTTCGAGAGCGACAAGTAGACGCCCCTCACGCTTGGACATGCCCCGTCTCGTAGAGTAACAGGCCCTCAACGGTAGTGGTCCGATTCCCCTGTCTTTCGCGCTCATCGCCAGTCCATCGCCCCAACGATAATGTGTCACTACCATCGCCCGCGACGTCCACGGCCTCCAAATCCACCTCTTCCGCCGCCACCTCCGGCCATGCCCTGATCATAGCCGAAGCCTCCTTGGTTCCCACCAAAGCCACCGCCAAAGTTCTGCCCCTGGCCCCCTTGCGCGCCTGCGCCTCCGCCGGCGCCTTGCATCCCGGAGAACATGGCCGCCATCTGACCCGGGTCCATCTGACTCGGGTCCATGCCCGAAGCCATCATCTGCTGCATCATGGCCTGCATCTCGGGAGGAATACCGTCCATTCCCGGCATGCCGCCGGCAGCTCCGCCGGCGCCAGCTCCAGCACCCGCTGCGCCTTGCATGCCCATGCCGCCCATCATCATCATGTTGAACTCCTCCATCATCTTCTTGTTGTTGGCGGCAAACGCATCGGCGCCGAATTCGCCACGGATGGACTCTTGCTTGGCGGCGTATAGCGCCCATGTGAACTCGTCGAAGCCGTAGTTGAAGTAGTCGCTTATGTCTGTGCCAGGCTTGCGCCACGGTTTGTCATTGTCTGGTAGATCTTGATGGAACAATTTTGTTAGTTGACTAGATTTGCCCAAGGAGCCAATGAATAATGTCATTACCTTCGTCAATGTTGACCTGTGTTATGGGCTTGCCGGCGGGAGGGTAGACTGGGTTGGCATTGATGTCGATGGTGGATTTTGAGGCCGCAGCCGATGTCTGGTCCGCGCTGGGGGCGGCAATGTTGAGGGCGCTTGTCGGCTTGGACTCGTCGTCCCTCTTGACCGGTGCCGACGGCTTGGCCGAGACGTCGTTGGAGGCTGACCGCTGGGGAATATTCCTGATGTCGCTGTATTTCGTCTGTCTGTCGTCGCGTACCTAGTAGTCAGCTTCAAGTACCAAAAGGCGCGCTCGGCATTGCCTCAGTGTGTTCCAGTCGACGTACGGTGGCGGCGCTGCCTTTGTGCCGTCCTTTCGTTCTGTGATGATGTCTATATCCTGCAAGCCCGCGAATTAGCGCGTGGACTGTGGCTTGCGTCAAAGAGCTTGTATCGTACTGAGTCGTCCTCATCGTCATCTTCATCCATGGCGCCGCTCTCGTCTTCCTCCTCGCCCTCTTCTAGCTCTTCCGTCTTGTGCTTCTTTTCCTCTTCTGGCTCGATCTTGGGCTCCTCCGGCTGGTAGAGATCGTCATCCTCGTCCATGTCCATTGCGGTGACGAGTTGCTTTTGCTCGTCAAGAGATGTTTCAGGTACAAGAGGGATACAACCGAGGTCAATTGAATCAAGGTCAGAGTAACGGGCGCGTCGAATGTTGCAAAGTTGAAGCTCTGGGGAAGCTCATCTGCAGGCTCGAAGTTCAACCACTGCTAGTAGCAACAATGGCTAAGCTAGGCTAGCCTTACGGAATCCCGATCCTCTCACCTTATCTTGCTGCAGCATTTCGCAGCCGCCGGGGTTTATCCGCATCCCTTCACCTTTCCAGACCCGCTCGAATCCCCCAAGCTCTGGCATATCCAGACAAGCTGAACGAGCTCCACACGAATTTGGGCCCTTGACTCGCTCCCGGAAAAAGTGCTGTTTTTTTCTCGGTTTTTTTCCCTCTGGTTTCTCAGCGGCGGTTCGCATGTCTCTGGCGCGGTCTGCCAGCGGCCCAGCGGGTCTCAGCATCAACACTTCGGCTGCAAATACCCTGTAAGCTCTTGCTAAATCTTCCAACAGCCCGCGCTCTTGAACTCTTGAACTTTTGATATCACCAACCTCTGCCTTGCACTACCGCCTCTCAGCTCTTCAACGCCTCTCATTCTATTCAATCAGCTGCGATCGTTACAGCTGTCCTCTCATTCGGCTCCCTTCTCTCATTGTCGCTGACTAAACGCGCCACAGAGGCACGACCTCGCAGCCAGCGGCGACTCGACCACTCTTTGGCTCTGGCAACGCGTCGGCAAGTCCATCAACGACGAGCAGCATGGCGACCGGTGGCCTCTTTGGCGCCAAGCCAGCAGGCACAGGGCTCTTTGGCTCTCCCGCCACGCCGACACCGCAGACAAGCACCGGCGGAGGTCTCTTTGGCGCTGCCACGAACACAAGCTCAACCACAGGCACAACGGGCGGCGGCTTGTTTGGGTCAACGACGCCCGCTCAGCCGGCCTCTGGAACGACCACGGGAGGGCTGTTTGGGGCCAAGCCTGCAGCGACGACGACGACGACGCCGGCGGCAAGTGGAGGAGGTTTGTTTGGCAGCACTACGGGCACCCAGCAGACGACAACAGGCGGGGGACTGTTTGGAAACACAGCTACAGCTCAGCCCAGCACGGGAACGACTGGCGGTGGCTTATTTGGAAGTGCAGCGACGACACAGCAGCAGCAACCAGCTAGCGGAGGGCTGTTTGGCAACACGGCGAGCACCCAACAGACTGGGGGCGGTCTCTTTGGCTCGACTCCTGCGTCAACTACCACTGGGGGTGGACTGCTGGGTCAAACACAGACAAAGCCTGCTGGCGGACTCTTGTACGCAATGCCTAACGGATCTATCCTAGAGGCTATTCCAATACCGAGTTGCTAACTTGACTGTAGCGGAGGAACCACAACTCAGACGGCCCCGGCCACAACTCAGACTGCGGCTGTCCAAGTCAACTACGACAACCTGCGGCCGCGGTCGCGCTTCGACGACCTCGCGCAGCCGATCCAGAACGAGATTGCCCTCATCGACAAGGGCATCCAGCGCGTCATCAAGATGAGGGATGAGATTGGGGAATTCATGCCTCAGCACGAAAAGGACATTGACCAGCTTGGGCGCGACGTCCAGTTCGTCGAGTCCAAGTTCAAGACGGTCCAGGACGCCCTCAACCGCGACATCCTGACCGTCAAGGCCCTGCAGGACATGACCAAGAAGGACGTGGCCGACGCGCAGCTCTCCTTCAAGGCGGCCGACAACCTCAAGCTGCCGACGCACTACCACCAGACGGGCCTCTTCGCCGGCCCGCCTCCCCCCGGCGGCGGCGGCGACGCCAACTCGTCCGACGCCTCGTCGGCGCATGCCAGCGCCCAGGACCTCATCACGTACTTCAACCGCATCTGCGACGACGTCGAAAAGTACAAGAAGCGCCTGGACGAGTACCGGTCGCAGATTGAGCGCGACATGCCGGGCGTGGAGAACGGGCTGTACGAGCAGATCCGCAGCCTGCGCGACAGCAGCAGCAGCGCTCCCGTGCAGGACCAGCTCGGCCAGGTGCTCGCCGCGCTGCGGGAGATGGGCAGCGCCATTGTCGCGCAGGCGGCGCAGATTGCGGACACGAGGGAGAGGCTGTCGCGGCTGCAGTCGGGCTTCTTGGATACTGGGCTGTACTCTGGCGTTGTTTCATGAGGCGGCCATGTCCAGCAGGGGATCTTTGCTGTTTTTTTCTTCTTCAGTTTGGGCAATGAGATTTCTTTCGTCTCTTCAATGTAACAGGAATACGTGTCTCCATGTGTGTGGTAGCTTTTGGGGATCGTTCACCAGGCGGCGCTTGCTGTACAAGGGCTCGTTTAAGGCTGAGCATGGCATATGACAGGATGTCTGATCTACCACTCAGTCGTCGTGGCTAGGAAGTGGATGGGCATGCAGGATGGCAGCAGAAGAATACTGAGACAATGACATGGCATGTAGGGGGCGTTTGGCCCTCTGATAATGTGAATTACGGCGGCCCAGGGGAACCTCCTGTTTTGCGCGTGCGTCTCATTACAAGTTGTGACTCATTCTGGCGGCACGAAGCCAAGTGAAGGGTATAAGCGTGTATATATGTACAAATGCGAGTGAATACGTAGGTAGATGAAGAAAAATGCTCGAGTGACAGCTTTTACCCCGAGCAATCGTTCCCACTGACAGCCAAACAACCAAGTAGAAAGAGTCGAACAGCGTCCTCTGCCGTCAATATGTGCCTTCGCCATCGTCCCCGTCCCCATAGTCATCCCCGCCCTCGTCGCCATTGTCAAAGTACGTCTCGGCATCGTAATCGCCCGCATCCTCGTCATCGTACACCTCATCCTCCTCCTCCTCCTCCAAGCCCTCGTCATCGTCCAGATCGGCCGCGTCATCGCCCTCCTCGTCGCGCAGCGCATCCAGCCTCTCGAGGATATTCTTGCCGTCGACGGGCAGAAGCTCGTCGTCGCCCTCGAGGGCGGGCATGCCAAAGGCCTCCTCGGCGTTGGGCAGCGCGCTGACCTTGCTCAGCTCGAGGCGGCGCCTCTTGCGCGCGCCGGTCGCGTCCGCGGCGTCAATGGTGTCGAGCAGCTCGGCGGGGAACATTTCCCTGCAGATGGGGCGGGCGGACCACTCGGGCAGGGCGCGCTCGGGGCGGGCGAAGCGCTGGGAGTAGGTGGGCATGGCGACAAAGGGGTCGACCGAGGCCTTGCTGCGGACGTCGTAGAGGGCGTTCATCTGCTCGCGGCCGTAGATCTTGCGCGGCGCGGTGGGATCGATGAGCGAGGTGCGCTTGGAGGTGTAGAGGGGCGACGAGTGGATTTGGTGCCGGAGGAGGAGGAAGCACTGGACGCCGTTGTATTCCGTCGTGGTGAGAGGGCGAGGCGTGGGCACTTCTCGGGGCTGGACCAGAGATGTTCAGTCAGCTGTGTCTTTTCAAATTGATCATGAAGCAAGTTCTTTCTTTGAAGTGTTGTCCAACTCACAGGGAACAGCTCAGAGGGCCGGGCGTCGGGCTCGTCCGTGTCGTCCCATGGCAGCGCTGGCCGGCCTCCTCTGCCTCCGCCTCGTCCTCCTCGACCTCCTCCTCGACCACCTCCACCACCTCTTGCTGCCATTTCAGCTTCAGCTGGAACGTCCGCCGCTACCGCTTTCGATTCTCAATCGAGCCCCGTGTCCAAGAAGATGGTTTCAGCTGTAAGAGTGAGACGGAGCGCTGGATTGCTTTGTAGCAGTATTATATTCCTCGATTGAATGCGACGAGGCCAGCTTAGTAGAAAGGCAAAGTATTTGCAGGATGAGAGAAATGGCTGGGAATCTGACAAAAGGCTTGAACTTGACGAATGCGCGCGACATGGGCAGAAAAAGTTATGGTGGGGAGCGGAATTTCCTCCGCTACTATGACGCTGCCCCGCCCTTTTGCCTGGAAGCTCTCTTGCCGTCAGCGCATCTGCCTGCCAAACGGGTTCGACGACAGCTTACCTACCCTGTAAAGCATATAAATCTGTCCCCGTCCACGATCTCTCGAGTTTGACACACACACATACATACACACATACACACACCAGCTTCTCCATACATATATATCCGCGCATCACAAAGCGATCTCTATAGCAGTCTCTTCACAATAGATCAAAAAGACCGTCTTTGGTCAGGGTCACCCCCCGTCAACATGTCTGATCGAATCATCCCCAACGGCTCCTCAGACAGCCATCCCATCTCCGGCCTCGACGACTTCCAGACTCACCTCCAGCACCTCCAAGATGATCCCTCTCAGCCCTTCAACCTCAAGCTCCTCGACGACATCGAGCTCCAGCTAACAGGTACCATCCCCCCTTACACTCTCCCACTCACCTCCTTAGCAAACTCCCACAGAAGTACTAACACGCAAGTCCCCCCCAAGAATCAAACATCCCTCCCCTCCTCCCAACCGTCCTCCCCCCTCTCACCCAGATCCTCAAAACCACCTCCCAAGATCCCTCCCCCTTGCTCTCCCTCACAATCAAGCTCCTCTCCCCCCTGACATTCACCCGCACCCTCACCATCGCCGACCCGCCCTCCCTTCTCGCGGCCCTCTCCTCCCCTCTCCCAGGCGCCAACCTCCTCGCCCTCGCCATCATCCACAAGGCCGCCAAGACGCCCACCGAGGTCGCCCTCCTCAGCACCCTCCCGGACGTCGTCGACGCCCTCGTCACCCGCTGGCTCGACAGCCCAGACGTCGGCGTCGGCGAGCGCGCGGCCAAAGTCCTCGGCGACCTCCTGGAGACGGACTGCGAAATCATCCGCGAACCACCACCACCACCACCACCCCCGGCAGCAGGCAACCCTAACGGGAGCACTCATGGCTTCCAAGTCTTTCCCCCCGCCACTGCCGCAGCCAACAGACGGCGCATGCTGCCCGGCCACGGACGCCTCTGGCGCTTGATCCTCCTCGAGCGGCCCATGCTCCAACGCATCACCACCCTATGCTCCCCTGAGACGACGACGACAACAACAACAACAACAAGTAGTCCACCTACCAGGCCAAGACACCAAACGTCGCTCTCGCAAGGCCGCCTCCTCCGCCTCCTCACGCGCCTCGCAACGCTCAACATCCGCGCCATAAGCCAGACCTCCTTCCCAGAGCTATTCCCCCTGTCCGACGCCGCCGCGCAAGCCCTAGGCCGAGGACTCCTGCAGTGGGCTGCGCTGAGCATGGTGTCCAGGACGGAGGACGTCCTCATGCACTTGAACTTGATTGACTTTTTCGAGACGTTTGTGAGCGTGATGCGCGTGGCTGGGCTGGATGCCGAGGAGAAGAGCATCGTGAGGACGTTGGTCAGGGTCGCGGCTGCGGAGGACGGGCAGTTGCGGGATGCGTTGAGGGGCCTGCCGAATAGGACTGTAGAGGAGGAGGCCGAGCCTCTGCGAGCGTATATCAGCGATATCCTGGGTGGAAATTGATCAACATCTCTGCCTGTTCCAAGGCAGTGTGTGTCTACGAATACCCGAGGAGGAGCGATATATAAGCCACTGGTACAACTAGCATGTAATAAACAGCTGGCACAAGATGGGACACTTTGTAGAACGCATGTGGGAGTGATAAAACACATCATAGCATTAGAACGTTCTTTTAGGCCCTACATAACAAAGCAGGCATACCTTTTTCCTCGACATACACACGCAAATGGTGCCTGTTGCTAAGGATCAATGAAACGCAAACATTCTAAAACCCGCCTCAACGCCAAATAGATTCATCCTTCCGCGTCATACAGCCGTCCACCTTTGAACCGCCTCACAGCATCTTGCGTGCCGCAGCCTCCGAGCTGCCAGCAGCAGCCTCCTCGGCGTTGGTGCTGGTCGTGCTATCCCGCCTCTTGTCCCCAGCCCTCGTCATGCCCTCGATCCCGAGCGACACCTCGCCCACCCTCCGCAGCACCCCGAGCAGCGCGCCGCGCAGGTCCGCCGTCAAGTCCTTTTGCAGCAGGTCAATGGCCATCGGGTAGAACGAGGGCAGGTGTGCCTTGAAGGCCTCTTCCGGGAACGTGGCGAATCCCTCCAGCACGTCGACGACGACCGGCCGCCACGCGATGATGTTCCTCTGCTGGCTCTCCTCCGCGAGCAGCGAGTAGCCCGTGATGATGTCTTCGCACAGCGGCACGAGGGCGGCTTCAATGTCGGGCCTGCTCTTGAGTCGCTCCGGCGCGTCGTCCACAAACATCCTGAAGAGGATCGACACGTACGTCGCCGCAGCACCGCTTTCTTGCTTCAACAGGTTGGGAGGCTGTTTCATGAAGCCCTCGCGCCAGAGCTTCATCCGAAGCTCCTTATCTTCGTTGAAACGGCGTGCGAACTGGAAGGACCGCTTAAGGAGAGCCATGAGTCGCAGGAGCTCGGTGGAGGGGATGTTGGCGTAGACGGTGTCGTTGCTGAAGAGCTCGTTGACCGTCTCAATCATCAGCAGCTGCAAGACGCAGCGAGAGATGATGCGGTTGAAGAAGCGCCGGCGGGCTGCAGTCACCACAACGGGCTGCTGTTGGAGAGTGGAGGATGGCTTGAACTCTTCCAGCTGCTGCCCATTAGTGTTTGCTGTCGGCGTCCGCGACTCGTCGTCGTCAAGCTTGTGCAATGTCGGGTGATGGATCGATTCGGTATCGGAAGCAGCGCTATGGTCATCACCGCCATTGATCTTGAGGGACTTTTCATCACCGGTAGGGACTTCGCCAGTAGTTGGGCTGAGGGGTGAAGTGAACTCGAGTCCGTTAGACGATGACAGTGACAAAGCAGTAGAGGCCTCCATGTTTGCTGCGGTAAAGAGCTGATACGCCGTTGTCCGATCAAAAAGCTCGCAGAATGCCCCGACAATCTTGGTCCAATGCACCTGGTTAAACTTGGTCACATTCTTCAGGATCAGCTGTTGCAGACAGTTGCTGCCGATCCGAGAGATTGTGTCGTTTTCTTGGCAGATGCACAGGGCCAGCAGCTCCAGAAACCTGTCCAGCATGTACTCGAGGGCATCGAAGTAATGCGTGAATAGCGTGATCATGTTGCGCAGGGCTTGGATCATCGTAGTCGATAGCCACACAGACAGCTCCTCATGGTTCAAAACATTGGTCATTTCTGGCCGCGAACGCAGAACCATGAAGATGGGGTACAGCTGCTGCCTCCAGAGGATATCCCAAAATGCTTGGGTGAAGCCGCCTCCGTACTTGAGCAGCGCGGCAAAAAAGTACTCTAGAGCGTTTGAACGAACCTCGAGGTCTTCACCCGTCATCAGTACGTCGTGAAAGGCAAAGAGTACCGGGAACCAGTAGCCCTCTTCCAACGACGTCTTTGTCTGCGCCTTCTTGTTGACGCCGGGAGTGGGTTCCACGTCCCCGTTCTCAGACTTGGAAGCGGTTGACAGCGGGCACTCTGGAGTCTTGAGCATGGTTGGGATGATGGACTTGAGCAGCTCTAGAGCGCCAAGACTCTTCTTCTGAAACTTGAGGTTCTTTGAGAATTCCGTCAAGCAGACAATGAGATCCGTAAACGCTCCCTGGGAGATGACGACGCCAAACTTCTCCTTGTAGACCTGGGTGACGTTTTCATACGCAAGGTTGACAATGCTCTCGTACGGCTCTCTGGCAGCAACCGTGAAGACGCCAAACATGGTCCTCCAGCCGGAGCGGATGTTGTCGCCCCGAGCTTGAATCATCTGGATGAGACAGCGAAGCACCATGTCCTTGACGGTGACATTGTGCGAGTTGGACAGGACGTGCTCAAACGGCTTGAGGAAATCCTTTTGAAACTTGAAACCCGCAAGCTCTTCGATTTCCATGAACCGCATGGACAGCTGACGCAGAGAGTCCAAAGCAAAGAAGACAATGTTCATGTTGCTGTGGCAGCCGACCTGGTTGAAGTGCTCGCCGAGAACAGCCCAGATATTGCTCCATTCGAACCTCACGCGGTTCATGTTGTAGTAGCTGATTTCGACAATCTTTTGCAGGCTGTACGTGCGAGGAGAGTCGTTGGAGCCAGAGACCTTGATCTCGTCCCAGCTGACCTCGGTCAGGGCCTTGGCAAAGTACACCATGGCTTCGCCTGAGAGGTTGGCCGTGTTGGAGAAGATTCGGTCGACACTGCGGACAAGCTCATCTGAGCGGCTCTCCAGAGCGATCTCGCTGGAAAAGCCTCGCGGGCCAGTGCCAGACCTCTGTCGCGTTGGTCGGGATTTCAGCTGCATGGACGGGCGAGACTCGGACGTCCCAGCACGCGAGGGGGGGATGAAGCGCGCTTGGGAAACGTCTGGGATGGCACTCTCGTCGACGCCACCAGAGATGAGCTGCAGCCGATCCAGTTGGCTAATGCACATGAGGATGTCTTTCCACGACTCCTGGAGGACATTGCCCTCGGTCTGCGCGATATCCAGAATGACCTTGAGCGCCTCAATGTTCTTGGCCTGCATCTCCTGCGGGTTGTTCAGGTTTGTGGCATTGCGGAGCGCGGAAATGAACGCCTCCCGAGGGGTTGACTGGTTGAAGAGGCAAGCAATCCGGGTCGCCAGCCGCATGCCCTCCAGGCACAGCTTATTCACCTCGAGATTGTGTGCCTTTTGCATCTGGCCCGAGAGCGCCGAGAAGATGGACATCCAGGTGATGTCGAACATGGCCTCTACGTGCTTAAAGGACGTTGCTTCGATGTACTTGGGTGCCATCTTGGAGGCGTTTCGGCGCTGGCTCTTGAACAGGTTCTTGAAAAGCTGTTCCGAACGCAACGCAATCTCCTCCGACTGCTGCATGTATGCCTCTCGCTGCAAGTCACGCCCGACATTGGAGAAAGCCTGTCCCAAGCCTGCGGCCAGGCCGCTCGGCTGGGTAGGGAGGTTGCCCTGGGCGGCTGCAACGTCGCGCTCGCTCTTGAGGACGATCTCGTTGTTGGCAATCTCCTCATAGATGGATATCTGGTAATCGTGAGGCAAGTCTGCGTTGTCGTTGATGCCCGCATTGTTGCGGATAAACTCCTCCTTGGTCATCCTCTTGGCGATCTTGCTGCTGTGCAAATCTGTGTTGAGTAGGATGACAGAGTACGCGAGCACATAGGCGGTGTCGGCGTTGGCAAAGGCATTGGGGTTGCCCAGCACATAGCGCTCAGCAAACTTGAGCATGAAACGATCGATTTTCTGCGCTTCTCCCGGCAGACGGAACGACTGCAAGAACTGGCGCAGAGCGTCGACGAATCGCTTTTTGGTGAAGTCCATGGAGTCGACGAAGGCATGCATCGTCTCAATGTTCTTCGGGTCTCCCTCACCGAGGTACTCGCCAATCTGTGCCTTGTCCAGCTTGTCCTCGTTCAACAAGAAGGTCGCAATATCCTTGGGGCTATCGCTCGGGATGAAGCCGTCGCGGATCAGTAGCTCAATGCCCTTCTTGGGCTTGAAGTTGAACTGCCTGATACCCTTCATCAGAGCCGTTTTCCTAGCCTTTTCCTTGCTCAGATAATCGGGGTCATCCTCCAAGACCGGGGTCGATGGCGGCAGAGGCGTATCAAAGCGTGATGCATTCTCGCTTGTCGGGTCGATGGACGGCCTTAGCTCATCGAAGGAGGCCCTGGTGTCGCCGTCCGGACGTGCGTTGTCACTGTCTGAGCGCACGGGGGCGGACCAGTTGACCAAGGACCGGAGAGTCTCGACAAGGGCCTCTAGTGACAGCCGCTTGATCGCATATTCCTTGGGATAATCGGTTTCATTCTCCTGATGTGGAGCGATATGCGCAACCGTGAGTGAAGGAGGCAAGATGCCCTTGAGCTGCCACTCGCTGGCGGGTGTCGTTTTCGCCCTGTACTCCTCATATGCCTGCTCGTGGATCGATGTGATGGTGACCGGCGCTGTCGCGAATTTGGAAAGGTCTTCAATGACTGTCTGAAAGATGTTCTCTACCGACTGGTCGCAGTCGTAGTTGAGATAGGTTTCCACCAAAGCTCGGGGGTCGGCGCAAAGGCGGTTCAGAATGGAAACAAAGTACAGCTTTTGTGTCAGGGGCGCGTTCTTTTGGGACAAGAGGGCCAGGTAAATTTCGTTGAGAATGACCTCGATTTCTTTCTAAGATGGAAAATGAGCTCTCTGAAGCAATTTGCGCATGGACGCAGTTCGACCATGACGAGTCAGGGGAAGTAAGAGGGGTCTTGGCCTACCTTGAATGAGGGGCGCATGTACTTGAGCATGAGCCAGAAGATCTCACAGCAGATGTCAAAGATTCGATCGACCGAGCTGGCTCCGTTGCGGGTGATGCTCAGGCAGAGATAGAACTTGATGGCGTTGAGGAAGGTGGTGGGCTCGTTGCTCTTGGAGCTCGTAATGGTACAGAGGGGCGACGTGAAGACGGCGATGTTGTTATTGAGGAGGGTGTGGATGAGATGTAGAGAGACCAGCTTGGAGCGCATCGGCTGGCCGCGCAAGTCGAAGAGCTGGTCGGGCGCCAGAACCTTTGTCGACAGGTTGCAGAAGGACCGGAAGACGAGGTAGGCGTCTCGGATGTAGACCTCGTCCTCGGCATCCAGCGCATCGCTGTCTTCTTGCGGGCCGGACTGGCCCGACACGGACACGTCACTCTCGTCCTTCTTGTCCGACTTGAGCCGTGTAACCATGGTCGGCCCATCGCCGAGGGTGGAATCGTCGAAGCTCTTGCGGTGCTCCAGGTCCTTGAGCGTGAGCTTGGCGGCATTGGCCGGCTCTTCCGGGGGAGCATCGGCGCTCTCGGGCGGCGCAGGCGAAGCCTCGTCGTTGTCGTCGCTGTGCTGGGTGCCATTGGCGATCTCGGACTGGTCAAAGGTGACATTGCTCGCGCCGTGGTTGAGGTTGTTGAGGCTCAGCCTGCTTTCCTTCATGTGAAGCCTGGTCTTGACCCGCTCAAAGACGGTGCCGACCATCTGTGTGAGAGTGCCCTGCGCAACCTGCTGATTGGCCGTGCTCCGCGAAAGCAGAAATACATTGTACACCTGGCGCACGGCCTTGAGCAGGCCCGCGCCGTGAACCACAATCTTGTCGTTTAGGACGGCTGCCAGAAGCGACTTGACAATCTGCAGCTGGATCTCGACGGCGGTGGTCTCGCCCTGGAAGCAGTCGCAAATGGTATCAATGGCTCGCTCGATCAGCGGGGGCGCCGGCGCGGCGCCTTCTTTGGGAGCGTCATCCTTGGTGGGCAGCGAGAAGTACGAGTAGGATATCAGCTTCCCAATGCAGTCGAGGGCTGTTGTCGTCAGCTGCGGGCTGTTGGTCTTGGTCGCGAGCTGCAGCGGCGCGAAGACAATCTCGGGATCGGGCAGCTGGTCCTGCTCTTTGATGGCGTCCAGGGCTGTCTTGGTCAAGTCGGCCAGCTGCTTGTTGCGCTGGGCATCTTTGGAGGTGGCAATGGCGTCCAGAGAGGACACGACGAACTTGAGGGAGCTCATGAGGCGGACCGGAGGGAGGACAAGGCAGGACGGGACAGACAATCGCCGGGGGGGGGGGAGAGACGCGGGAAGTTAGGGACCTTGGGCGTGGTCCATCGATTGCGTCGCCTGGCTGTGCGGTTCGGAGGCGAGGCGAACGAAGGCAAGGGTGAGGGCGAGGGTGAGGGCGGGGATCACGGCGGTAAGGCGGGACGGAGGCCCTCGCAGCAAAGTTGACAGACGCACAGCTGGTCCCGCGGCTGGGAGGCGAGGAGTTGAATGGCCGCGATGCTGGTGGTGATACGGGACAAGTGCCAGGTGGTTGATGCCTCAAGGGGACTGGCCAGCATTTCCAAAAGCAAGAGGGAGAGCCGGGCGGGACCCGTTGCGCCGCGTTAGCCTCTCCAGTCTAGCGGGCAGTTTCAGCGGTGCCAGTGCCTGAGGGCGAGCTGAGGTTGTACAAGTACCTTACTCTGGCCTGTGATACCTTACAGTAGGAACATGGGGATACGTACCACGGTTGGCAGCAGAGAAACGCGTCCTGCTGATGATCATCATGGTCGCCTGGCGCCGAGGTACAGAGTACTCAGGGCATGTCCGCACTCGGTGCTGTCAAAGGCGGGAGGTGCCGAGAAACGACCACTCGATCCCAGGTAGCCGGTACCTTTGATCTGTGGTTGTTATTGAGCGGCAAGCCACTCCAATTCAAGCCACAGGTGGGAGATTCAGGGTCCAAGGTGAGGCTGAAGACTTGAGAGAGTTGTAGCAACTTTCCAGCATCCAGAGACCTGTCAACTACTAGGTAGTACCTTTTTACCATTTCTGCTTGCCTTGTTGCAAATCAGGGGGCCAATTAGTCGCAAGTCATGGTTTCCGACATGTCCAGTCATCCCGCATAGGCCAAACATACGTATGCAGTAGGAGCATTGCGGATTGCCTTGCTGCAGTCTGACACAGTCTGAATCTGTATCTGCCCGCATCGACAGCCCAACCCCTCTAGATACGGTATGTTGATTACAGAAGAGACCGGAAACTGAGGATCTGCCCGTAGTGCATGTTGTTTCGAGGCTTTGTCTCTGTTGTCCAAGATTGCTTCATATCGGTAGCTTACTTATCCTTCTAGCATGGGGCAGGACGCAAAGTGTAGCAACTTTGCCGCTTTGATACACACTCAACTTGCAGTAGAGGTACAGGTGAGGATCGGATTCATCCCGGATTCCGTAAGTCAAGCCCTCGGCTCCAGCATTGTGCCTTTCAAGAGCCATGCGCCCGCCCAGGCTGAGCTAAAAGAGTACATACCTAACAAATACCTACCTAGTAATGCGATGACATGCCGAGACTTGATCCTATGTAGGTAGTAGCCCAGCAGCGATGGAGCCGTGCTATAAAAGCAGCGCCCCTCGGCCTCCTCCGGATGTGGTGCCGAAGAACGAAAGGAGCAAGGACGAAGTCTAGAGATGGAATCACGGGAGGAAACACTGCCCCATGGTTTGACTGATGCATGCTCATGATTTGGAAAAAAAAATCGTGTGGGACCATGCTCATGGAGATGAAGACAGCAGGTCTGTAGCCGTCAGCAAGACACACCGTCTGGCCCGGCCATGTCCCGTACATACATGTATCCATCCCGTCGATTCCGTACGGACTCCGGGGAGGATGCATAAGAATCCCGTCGAGCTGTTGGCGGACCAGCTGCCAATCAGAAGCGCTGGCGCAACTGGAATCCCGACTGCGTGTGACTTGGCAGAGCTGCGTATAAAAGAAGAGCGATCTGATGGGCTCGTGTGGCTTGCTTATTACGGAGCAACGATGATACCATCACCTAGGCTAGAGGTGGCTCTGCTCATTGTTGGGAAGCAGAATGCCGTGGAGAAGGTCTATCGAATCTTGAACGAGTTCGTCGACAAATCGTGGCAGTTATCTAGCAGTAGATCTCGTGGTCTAAAAACAGACGCAGCTACACCGCTTCAGGGCCTCGCTTCCCATCAAATTCCAAATGCGTTCCCTGGAAGCGAACCGTCGCGATGCCTCCTCATGGGGTTATGTATTCATGGAACCTGGCTGCTGCTGCTGCTGCAGCTTGCTCGCATGACGGCGACAGACCGCTAAAGCAGGCAAGACAAGATATAAAGTCTATTTGGCGGGCTCGAGTCGCCCAATCAGTACATGTATGTATCTTGGTTCCATCATTCGAGGTCGCTGTCAATCCCGGCCTCATCAGCACAGCACCCAGTCCAGCCCACAGCATCAAGGCAGTGCAGCGCAGTCGAGAGCGAACTGGCATTGCCCGACTATAGGTAGAAGGTAAAGAATTGGCCCGCCCGCCCCCATCCAGCACTGCAAACAGCCACTCGAGCGTATTCCGTCTTTTCTTTGCGGCCCTTTGATGAGATCTTTGACGTTAGTGCTAGCCGCAGTCCGCTGGAGCCATTTTCCGCCGCCCCCGGACGAGGCGGGCCATCAATCCACCGTCCAGCGGTGGCTGATCCCGATCGCAGAAGGGATTTGAATCGCTAATAACACCTCCTAGTAGTATAGTATAGTATAGTAGTACTATGTACTATAGTATACATGTCATGCACGAAGCGACAGCAGCAAAAAAAGATTCAAAGGCGTCTCACGTCCCCTCTTCCATCTGCATGCTCCGACCTCGCGGCTCGGCATCGCCATTCTCCTGCTCCCTCCAGGCTGCATCGCATCGCATCGCATCTCATCGCATCGCCTCGCACCGCATCGCCAGCCTGTTCGCTTCACTCCGTCTGCGCTTCTCGCCCGCCGTCGCCAAATGCGCCCAGCCTCCGAGCGAGGCGACTGATGCCCGCCTGCTTCGGAGCCGCCAACGAGAGCTTCCCGACGCCGCCGTCGAGAGAGCTGCACTGCAGGTAGAATCGCATCAATTCCGCATCGCCTAATCGACGATTCTCTCTCTCTCTCAATATTCATCCCCATCCATTGAACAATTAGCTGCTCGATTGTCTCCTCTCGCGCCGCTTCTCGAACAAGCAACCGTCTAGACACTACAACCACCCCCACGACATCGATATACCAGACCCGCCACCATCAACAACCATCACGAAGCTCAAGCTCGCACGCACCAGCACATCGCCTTTGCTCGAGCGCCGAGATACACACAATCACAACACACACACACACACACATACACGTAGGTAGCAGTCACAGCTACCTACCTACACCTCTTGTGCACGCACACTACACAGGCGCGTGCGACAAGATGCTTCTACACATACCGGCCGTTGTCGGCCTCTTTGCCATCGCCGCCGCCGACAACAACGTCTCAACCTCGCCCGAAACCGACACTCCGCCAGACTGGGCCACCAACAATGCGCTGCAGATGAACCTGTCGGCACCCAACGGACAGGCGGACCCCATCCAGTACACCGTCATCCCTGTCATTCCGAATGCTGGGTCAAATCCGTCAAGTAATCCTTCTCAGGTATGGCTGGCTTGTCCCCCCAAGAACTTTGACATGAACCAAACGCTGACGAGAAGACAACAAAAGACCATCAACATCACCGGCGTCATGATTGCCACCGACGTGTCCAACTTCAACAAGGTGACAAATCCCAACGATGTCGCCTATCTGTCATGCGACAATCCCTCGTCAGATTCCTTCATCAGCACCAATGAGATGCTCAACGACATCATTGCTCAAGGCCCCAAGGCCATCGTCCTCTACTCGCTTGCCAGTACCTGGTGTAGTCTTGATTTCGGGACCCCGCCGACCGTCTCCAACATCCTCTCCATGGCCGACAGTGGCGAGGCCCAGGGGGTTCTCAACTCCCTCAACGGCACTGCTACCGGGCGGCTGGTCAATGTTTCCATCACGGGGAACGCATCAAACAACGACTCTGGCGATCCCGGCCCAAGTGGCAACAACTCGACTGTTGCCATGGCCATTCTCTACACCATCACCGCCCTCATTGCCATCTTGTTTGTCGTGATCATCGTCACTGGTGTGGTGAGGGCTCAGCGACACCCCGAAAGATACGGCCCCCGGCGAGCTCTGGGAAATCGGCCCCGGCAGAGCCGTGCAAGAGGACTCGCCATGGCCGTTCTCGAAACGCTGCCCATTGTCAAGTTCAAGAACAACCAGGACTCGGCCAAGCCGGATCCCGACCTGGAGCTGGACGCAGCCACTACTGGCGACGGCAGAACCCAGCGGTCATCTTCCATCTTTACCAACGACCCGCGGCATGAGGCTTCGAGGGGAGCCGCGGGAGCAGCCACAGGAGCCGCGGGCCATGACGAGGCTCGTGATGCCCCTCCAGTCGCAGAGTCGCGCGGCGCTGCTGATGCCGCTCCTCCTCCCGAAAACGCGGGCTGTTCCATCTGCACAGAAGACTTCAGGGAAGGCGAAGACATGAGAGTTTTGCCCTGCAATCACAAGTTCCATCCGACCTGCATCGACCCCTGGCTTGTCAACGTGTCCGGCACATGTCCATTGTGGTGAGTTTCAATCTACCCCCATCAAAACTCGTGCTTTTGTCGCAGATTGCTAACAAGCACCGAAATAGTCGGCTTGATCTTCACGAGGCCGCCCTCGTTGCTGAAGATGCGGCCATCGATCGGACTGTTTACAATAGAAACTCCACATTGCCGCCTCCTCTGGCGCTGGACGGTGAGGAGGACGAGGGCTCTCACGGACACCACCGCAATAGGCTCTCTCGCCTGTTCGACATCAACAGGTTGCGACAGGCCACGCGAGAGGAGCAGATCGCCGCCCTTCGTCAGATGCGGACAAGTCGCCAGACCGAAGCAGGGGCTCAGGACTCGAGCAACCACGATGCAGAGCGTGAAAGGGGCCAGAGGGCCCACCTCACAGCCAAGCTGAAGGAGAAGTTTCGCATTCGAACCAGAGCCCGGTCTCCGGAGCGGCATACAGACGACGACTACTGAAGCGTGTGGTCGTCTGTCTTTTGACTCTCCTCGAGTTTCATTTATTAGCTCTTTGGGTTCTCTTTTGTCTCACTTCTTCTCCTCTTTGGTGTCACTTGATGATAGTGGCTGGCTGCTCGGTGGTGTTTTATGGTTACAGGTTCTAGTTATTAACTCTCTCGGCGTTTGGGATAAGGAGGCTTACGGAAGCATTACAAGGAGTTTACGGTGTCTTGTATATCCCTGTGCTTTGAAGCTGCATTCTGGAAGGGGTCTACACTGGAGTTTGGGAGGCCGGGTCGAATTACTCGAAACGAATAAACAAGACCAAGGTACAAAATGATGAGAGGGCGGGTTTCAAGGACTCACAGCGGAGGCATCGATATCTATCTTTGATCACGGCATATTGCGAATAACCCGTCTGCTGTGTCCGTTCAGGTGCCCATGTATATTTTATATGTCACTGGCGAGCGTTCTCCTCATGTGACGCTCGCGATCTCGAGGATTCAATCTGTAAAGCCACCCTGCATCAACCTTGACGACGCCGTGCGACAGCAATACGTAAGGAACAGCATTGCAACTATATTGTCGAATCAAGTACTCCGCGCCTACAGATGATTGACGGGCAAAGCCAGCAGGCAAAGAAGTCCACGCTCGCAGCCGAGAGGACACGATGTTGAGGCTATTCCTGAGCGCTGCTGTGTCAAGCTGCATCTCTTCCCCCAACAGAAACGAGTTTCACTTGACAAAAGGTTATATACATTGAAATAACCTCGCGGGATGTACAGCCGTCCCCAAGTTGCGGAAATGCCTCGCATTGCTCACAGCCAAGTTCATTGCTCATCTTGTCTTTTGACGCCTGTTACAAGGACATTCGCTGGTGGAAAACCCATCTTTCAAGCAATGGCAACTCCCTACTGTTATTCGTCGATTCTCGCTTCCACGGTCTCGATAGATATGTACTGAACGTATGAGAGAAAGAGATAGGCTGCTGAAATAGTGGCCTATCATGATCGGTGAAGGGCTTTCCGTATCCCAAAGGCTCGTCATCATCCAGCAGACGATGTACCAGCGTCTCGTCCTTCCACAATCAAATCTTTCAGGGAAGAACTCCAATCAGGCTCTCGCATTCTCATCACGCAACGTATCCGGTTTGCTTGACGATATTACAGGGGAAAATGTCGGCGTCAACCAGGGTCAATGTGAACTCCACTTGGCCAACTTTTCTCATCAAGAGGCAAGCCTTCGAAACAAGGATGGGGGGGCGACTTTAGAAGACATGCTTGCCTTGATGTGGCCATCAATGCTATTCACATCGATCTTCTCGACAACACACCAGTCAGGCAACGTTGTTCAAAGCATTGTCTCGACTTGTGACCACCTCAACTTCACCACCCACCACGTCTTCCATCTCACCACAAGTCAACTCAACAAGCACACAATCTCGATCCATCCCCTAAACAACCACATGTCCTCTCTCCCCCATTCCTTCACCATACACCTCCTCCCATACATCCTCATTTCAGCCCCCCCCATCCTTCAACAATCCTACATCAGAGATGAAAAGTGCAGAAACCGCTTCCTCCCCACCATATACACACAGTCGCCGAGAGCCAGTCCAGACCACCAAAAAAGGCCAACATCTGCCTCGTCGCCAAAAACATCTGATATATGACAGCTGCATGCGAGATAACGTGTGGCTCGTTTAGCCATGGAAAGCCAGTGCAATGCAATCTGTCCACTTGCTTTGCTGCCTTGTTCTTCCCCCTCGGCGTAGGATTCGGGTCGTTTCGAAGGCACGTACATACATGCTACACGCTACACACACATATGATGTTGCCAGACAAAAGTAAGCTGTATCCCACATGCCCTACCTAATGTAATGTAGGATAAGGTAGTAGGCAGGCATATGCAGGTGTGCAGGTATACGAAGCACAACAAACAGGGTCTGATGTATATGCATCCTGCCTCCCCCATTGTGTACGAGCAATCCTACATGTTGCGCAGGATTCCAGGCCTCACTTCTCACCCTCGAGGGAAACATGACAGGTCACTCCCATAGCGAAGCCACCGTTGATTGGCACGCCGCAATGCAGGCAACTTGTCCCAGGTAACGAGAATTTAAGGTAGGTATGTAGTACCAGCCATTAAACAGGAGACGACACCAGGCTTGTTGCCTCTTGCACCACACAGACTCGAAAGATGGCCGGCTCGCTGTGCTCAGTGACCTGTCTGTTCTCAACCAAAGGTTTGCCTCCAGACCGCGCATGTTCATCTGAAATATGCGTTGTACAGACTCGGCTACACAGAATAACCGCCAAGGGGCACAACATGGACGAAACCAGTAACCCACCATCTTCATCCAGTGGAAAAAAACAGAAGAAGCCACCGTTGGGGAACCAACAGAGCTCATCACTGGTCGCTCCGAAAACGCAGGAGCAGACAGGCCGGGCGCGTATTATGCAGGCCCAGCCAACGGACAGAAGGCTTACATGACATTTACGAAGCCTTTGAAAGAAGGAGGAGGAGCGTGCCCTCCGGTGACTAAACAAGGCTGAGCCGGAGCTCCCTGTTGCAGGCCTCGGTGAGAGCTTGACAACAAGCCAATCCTTTATTCTTTTTTCTTCATCGTTGCTTAATTTGGTGGCGTCAAAGCCCGAATGCAAGAGGACAGGCGTTGCAGGCAATAATACGCCCCGAGATGGGGTTCGTGTTGTTCCGCTTTCATTGAAGAAGGCGTGTCAGAAGATGGAGATGGGAAGCAATAAGAAATCAGCAGCATCGTGACTTGCAAAGCGGCGTTGCCTGCGTATGCAGCGTATGTATCCTCCCTTGGCTTGACACGAGGGGACGGGCGTCGATGCTGACGGGTTGCGGTGATTGGGGACGTCTAGAACCACGGGAGACCTGTGCATTTTCCAGAACAAAAGCCAGGGTTGAGCGCCCACCGCAAAGGTTCGGGCAAAGGAACAAGGAGAGAAAATAGACCAACGAATCAAGGCAAGTTACTGCAGAGTGGCCCGTAATAATCGGAGAGAAGAAAAGGAAAAAAAGGAACGATTGATTATGGCGGGCATCTGATCACCCGAGGGAGCGGTACCGAAAAGAAAAAGTCCAGGCGTGTGTCCTGTTCTCTCGGAACTGGACTACTGTAGGGAGGGGTGCGATGATGAGGAGAGCAAAAGGGCCAACCAACAAGCGGATCGTATTGATGCCGAGAGCATGACACGGACCACGATGAATGGGCGCTGCTAAGACTTTGGATGATGAAATCGATAATGGCTCAGCAGCACAAGGACGAGTACAGGCGGACAAGATGAGACAAGATGAAAGACACAAATGACAAAGAGACATGGAAGAAGCAAGAGAATGAACAAGACAGGCTGCCTAGCAGAAGATGGAGGGTACCGTGACAGGCGCTGGCTGCTGGGTCGGAATAGCTTCAGAAGCCGGCACGCACCGTCTGATTATTGGATCCGTGGGCTGGTTTAAACCCCCCCATCCAACCAGCCGGGACACGCGCTCATTCGCCCAGGGATTGACGGCTCGGAAGGGACGAGGCCCGCAAGGCGCTGGCGAACACGGGACTGAAATGATGATGACGACGACGATGGTGGTGATGATGATGATGATGATAGATGATGGAGACGGAAGAGGGAGCAGAAGAAGAAGAAGAGGGGCGTGAGTATTACATACATGTACATGTAGAGAGGCAGATCAAGACACCATCCGTCCATCTCCAACAAGGGCTTCCTTTCAGCTGGGCAAATCAGCAGCACACGGCCCGCCATCTCCAACAGTTCTCCTCAGTTGAGGCTTTTCAATAATTGATGTTGTTCTCACGCCCCCCCTCCTCTTTTACTACTACTACTACTACTACTACTACTACTACTACTACTACTACTACTACTCCCTTGCATCAACCACCACACGATAAGTAAGTAGTAGGTTTCTAATCTAGTACATGTATTATCCAGAGCATCGCTTAATGCTTCGTACGGGTATCATTACATATGTACGAGCATGACTTGGCCCAACTTGATCATCCCCTTTCCCCCCCCCCCAACGGCCCGACATGTGTCTCAGATAAATGTCATCAACTGGCAAAACCAGCCTCGTCTCTAAGTTCTGACCACCACCCACGGCGTCAACCCGCTTCCATCAAATCAAGCACGAGAATGCGATGGTATGATTCGCAGGGCGGGCGTCAATGACTGAGGAGGATTCACAACGCCATCGACGCCTCTCTTTACGATTTTCCCACTTGTATCTTCCGTTTCTCTTTGGCAAGTTTTGGGGCATTTCCTCCACGAGCCGCCAAATCCCGCTAGATTGGGCAATACTTGGGCTACCGCGGCTGTATAGAATGTTGAAGGATGATTCTTGTATAGGAAATAGCGTGATGCAGTGAAAATACGCAAATCGAGCTGCCCGGTTTTCTGTCGCGCGCAGAAAGAAGCATGTACATGTAAGTGCCTCTCACCGAGGCCTTTTTTTTTTGGGGGGGGGGGGGGGGGCGCTGCGTCCCGTCTTCAATGTCTCAAGACACGGCTCCAACAAAGACGTTCTTTTATGCGTTGGAAAGACAGAAAAATACCTGGAAAGGAAATGAAAGCGACAGACACGCGCTGGTGAGAACGACGACAATCCGATATATGATACAGAATCCTTCCATACGCCGCCACCCAATCAAAGCCCATTAAAACCCGGCCATGAACCTGCGGCTCAGAATCTCACCTACCTACCTACCTTACCTAGGTACTTACCGTACACAAGTCTTGGCCTCATCCTTTGACCCGTCCGTCTGGCTGAGCCAATAGCAGCGACTTCAATCCTCAATCCTTCATCCAAGACGTGTAAGCAGCACCACTTTTCAGAGCAAATCCCAGAGACAAAGAACACATTGCAAGGGCGTTTGCCATCACTGGACTATGAGGCTCACCATATGGATATCCACAGCAATCAACATGTCGGCATGTGATAGATTTGAGGCTTACATCTCATGCTCCGTGGTCTGTAAC